CTGAGGCCATCTAAACAAAACAGAAGCCATCCAATAGTTAGAGGTAGTTCTCTATAAAAGGTGGCAAGAAACATAAAGTCAGTAGGATTCATCCTCTGAATGCCTGAGCAGAATGTCACGCCAATCCATCCTATAATTTAGCAGATATGAAACTGAAAACATGGTTTGGTTACATTTTTGGGGGGCGTCTCTAAAATACTGACAATATGACATTTTTACACATTGCAATTTTATTTTAATGCTGTTACTATTATTGTTTTATATATATACCTTATTTATTGTGCTTCAAATTAGGCTAAGTATAACTTATGCATGAAGGTGATTTGTCATTAATTCATTTTAATAATCCAAGAATATTTAATGGTATTTAATAATACCAGCATGCATGCAGTTCTTGGCATCACAGAAAATCATAACTTTAGTTACTTTAACTCAAAAGTCAGAAAAGAAAAAAACAAAACTCAATTGACGCAAAACAAAACAGAAGAACAAACCGAGCCATCTGTCATGCTGAAAGTGCGTCATCTACTTTTCATTTGTTTTCTTTCTTATTGTTCATATTCTTATTCACAGGCTAATGAATAAATTTAAGTCACGCGCAGTATAAAGGTTGTGTTAGTCATTTCTGACCAGCGCAAAAAGTTCCACAACCGACAAATGGACTAACAGACACACAGCAACACTATTTGCAAAAACTAAAAGATCAGTTTAAAAGATGACTTTGCATTGCATTATGGTAGTTGTGGGACCCAGCAGTTTTGGAGTTTATCCACTTTAAAGAAAAAAAAACTAAAATGTTTTGATGATTTTAACTTTTATTTCATCATTTTGCTGTGAGTCTTCTAACTTTATGAAAGTGCGTTACTACATCACTGAATAGCTACACTATCTGCATGGATGCCACTATACAATTAAATGGGAACGTTTTCTAGTATTCGGGTGAGCTGACCCTTGAAGCCCTTTCTGTAAATGTTTACACTGTGTTACATAAGCCCCGTCTTTTTAGCATGGCCGGTCAATGTGGGAATCATATGACTTGCCTGTGCTGAACCCATGGGCATACAAAGGGTCTCATTAATGAGACCTTCAATAATAGAATGCAACCGACCTTAGAGATGAGTAAGTAGCATCACTTTATGCACTGGTAGGTAATTGCCTACAGTTAATGTCTAGTGATGCATGAGCAGAATTCTAGAGTCTATTAAAAAGCGTGTGTGTCACTGTCCGTGCCTAAGTATGCATGAGCCTCACAAGGCTCAGGGCTGGCAGCTGGGGTCCGACACAGTGTCTGCGTGTCGGTGTGTGCAAACAGAGCTTAGATGTATTAATAGTCCAGCCATGTCCGTGTCCTAAGCCACTTATGGGTCGTCTATCTTCTTGATCAGACCAGCCACACCATCCCGCCATGCTGCTGTATGACATCACAGCAGGCTGGCCGGTTCCTAGGCAACTGGATCAAATCATCATAGAAACCGACGAGGTGAAGGGCTGCGCTGAGAAATATGAGGTTGTGGTAACCCCAAAGGAGAGGGGACGGGCCTAAAAATAACACCTATCTGATACAGTGGGAGCGGAGACAGTGGGAGAATCAATATAGCAGTGGGGGTGGAACCTGATCCAGCCTTTTTCACTCCGATTCTCCTGTTACAGACAGAAATATGATATCCAAAGTGATCACGGTAGAGTAAGCTTTCCTGAGCTGAGCATACTGCACATATTGTATCAGATAGAGGCTTGTTCACAGCCTGCATATGTCGTCTCATCTCATCATTATCAATTCTTCTGGACTACTGCCAATGCCAAATAGGAAATACTGTAACAGTGCTGAGAAAAACAAACGCCAAATCAATTGCTTTAAAGCGAACATGCAGGTGTACACACTGCCCTCGATATTTTATATACATTATTGCTACTGACTGAAATGTGCAGGTAGCATTATGATATTATCAACCATCAGGTTTCGCAATATGACACCAAATGCCTGCTAAAACTCAAGAGTCAAATGTAATTCATAGTTTTGCCAATCTGTATGTTATTTGGGGAAAGTCCTAGTGTTGAACATGTTTTGTAAAAGGAAAAAAAAAAGGTGCTTGAAAGAAACATTCACATCACAGTTCCCAAAGGATTCAATCCAAGTTCTATTATTGAATGAGTAATAGTACTGAAAGGCATTGGCACACAGACAGGCACAAATGCAGATACATACGTTTAAACACACACATGAACAAAGAGGCGTAATAAAAAGACTGACAACGGACTGCAAGAAAAAAACAGAGCATAAGTAACTACATTATTCATCGAAGCACATTTCAGCTGCAGTATTGCCTCTAAATGGTGCCTCTGACAGTCCTTCTGAAAAAAAAAATGTACATATAAACCCTTCCCCACTGACTCTGGCCTCATTACAGGGGTTAATGAAGGTAAGAAGCCAGAGCTCCGGTTCTCGGATGCTCTCTCTCTCTGAAGGCTCTGCTGGGACTCTACGTTACTGGCAGCCAGGCCTAGAAACCTACTTCTGCCATGGGCTCAGTGACTGACGCAGCTCAGCTGACGGCCGCAGCCCACGCACACAAAAACATGTAGACACACATGCATGTAGCTGCTAGACACTTTACTTAACCTTTAAGGCAACCTTGTCCCGGTGCATGCTCAGGTAATTACTTATGCATACTCCTGACATTCAACAATTCCAAGTGTCATTACGACACAGTTTGTTCTGTTGTCATCCAGTAACATCTGCCTTCACTCACTCATATAATTATTGTTGTTGCTTTTCTCAATCAAATGCAGCTTATCTATGAGTTTGTTCATTAGTAAGTCGGAAAACAGGTTTAATTTTGTCATATCGCTCCCAGTTTTGTGGAATTAAGGTCAATTTTCTGTAAAACTAAGCCTGATTCTCTCGCCATGCGAAGGTCAAGTTAACACAGATTAACCACATTTCACAGGGGGTTTACATTTCCAACAAGCTTATCTAGTGTGTTCCGAGACCTTTCAATCATTCACAAACAGCAGTGTTTCCTCTCGTAATGCACATAGGCTCCATCCCATGCAAAGTTGTTCTGAATCAGTTTACGAGCTACTTTCAAATTTGTTTCTTCATCATTAATTCCCGTCTGGCATTAGAATCCCATATTGTATTCTCTCTCTGCTCCCTTAATAACATAATCACAAACTCTCTCACAGCCGATAACCCGCGCCAGCATGCAGAATCAGATCTAAAAATGGGCTTGCATTCAGCCCAGCCCAGCCAATTTGGCAGCGAGCATGTTACCATGCCTACAGGCCCAATCAATACCACGTCTAAAAATAGCATCACCATAATAGTCTTACTTCCAATCACAGAGGGGTGAGCATGGCAAGAGCATTTATTGTGTAATCTCCAAGATAACTGTTACCAGTGGCAACCACCGAGTTAGTGGGCACTGTGCAAAAAGCGTGAGTTTAATCCCCAACAGGAGGTTTCTCGAGGAAAACCCGATGCTGGGATTTTATTGGCGGCTGCTGGGATCTAACAGTGGGTCACTTCCTGCCGAGTTAACAGCAGATCATTAAATGGGCACCGAGGCTTCAATGGTGGGATGACAATGCCAGAGCAAACTCATGTAGATCAATCTTCAGAAGTGGGATGAATGGTAACGCGGGTACTAAAACTAAAAAAAAACTCCATTAAGTATGAAAAGCCCACAGGGCAAAGAGCAAATTCATGATCATGAGTCACAAATTGGCCATTTAGGAGATGATTGGTGCCGCACGACACAAAATGGCACAACGTCCTTGACGTCAAACACAATCTGTTTCAGAATAATGGTGTCATTCTGATGCTACTGCCAAGACAAGAGTGTCACTAGATTCAATAACTCGGTGCTATGACATTACCAAGAGAGAGAGTAGACAGATCGGGCAAAAACAATGATGTGGGCTGGCATGAGGGATGGAGAAGTGGCATGAAGGCAAAGAGGAAGAGACCAGAGCTAAAGCATGTCACAAATATGAGATAAAACCCTGACATGCTGGCAAAGACAACGTTTTTCTCTCTTTGTGGCATCCCCTCGCTCAAAAAAACCCCCCACAAACATCCACATGTGCCAGAGAGAAAACATGTTTGACCTCATTCAGCTGCAGTACAAGCCAAGTTCGGTGCTATTTCCACACACAAGGGGACTACCTCATGTAAGTGCTGTAGTTTCCTGTATGTACATCACTCAATGCCTACATACATCTGAGCTGTTTCAGACCACGTTCTTTTTATAGCGTCTCCCTCCACAGCAGAGAGAGAAGGAGTTGGATAGGTGGGTGGACTACCAAGGGGGATGTGACTCGGATTTATTTCCGTGTTCATGAGGCAAAGCTCTGGCACACATCGCTGCAGCGTGGGAGAGAGCCCAGACTCCATTCATAGATTTCTTTCATCTTTACCTCCTATTGACCTCTTTCAGTCTCTGTGTCACCGTTTCTCTCCACGGCTCCGGCTATGAACGGGGACACGCATGTTCTTCATTCATAAAAGGCTCAGGAGAGGAAAAATGAAAGACTACTCATTAAATATTTAGGCTTTTTTTTTTTGCTGTTTTCTAACCATATATCAGCCTGATCTTTCACTCCACTTTTTCGAATAAAATAAAACCAGCATCCTTGAAAAAAATACTTGTCAGTTGCTGTGATCTTCGACGACACACACAAGCCAGCTATATAACATCTCCCTCTGGTTTCAGTGTTTGTTCTGTTTCTCTCACTGGAGCCACTCATCATGTTTGACACTTGCAACAAATCAACAGCTCCCATCGACTGGATTGCGACAGTTTGCCTCTAGACTTGAACGCAGGCTAACAAGCAGCAATGGCATCCTTAATAAAACTAAACACCAACAAAGCCTTTAAAACGTGCTGCCTATGACCACGGAAACATTTGGCCTTTTAAACTATAACACATTCAGTGCAGGGAAATGAAGAAGTCATAAACCAACTCAGCCTTTTTGGAAAAGTGCAAGGTTTTCTCACCAGTTTGCCCTCCAGCGTGTAGATCTTCTTCACCACTCCAGAGTCCAGCTTGATGGCATCAGTGATGTCAGTGAGGACTTGTTCGTAGGAGTGGGCAGTCTTCTTGTTCAGCAGGATCCTCACAGCTTTGCGGGGCTTCACTCCGCTCCGCACCACTGTCACCAGCTTGGGCCGGATGAAGTCCTTGTTCTCGCGGCCGTCGGGGGCGCCGGCCTTGGAGCTGCCCAGGGAGGGGGGCCCTCGGGCCGCTGCCGCCGAGGCCTTGACGTTCACCGACCAGTTGGGGTTTACATTCTTTGTGTAATCCAGCTTTTTGTAGGCTTCAATGGAGCTGCACACGTAGCTGTCACCTGGTGGGGTTTGGTAGAGGAGGAGGAGGGGGGGAGATCAAGCAAAAGCAGTATTTTTCTGGCAGAAAGCAGCAGGATAAATACATTTTGAGTGAAACTGTATACAGATATTTAATATATTGTAACTCCTCTAGCAATCAAAACTGATTACAATAACTTGTAGCTCTTCCCATGTCACTTCTCATGAGGTAATGATACTGGAATGCAGCTACTAGAGAGTAAAACAGATCAGGCTAATCTGAGTCCAAACACAGGCTTCTTATGTATTGCCATATGGCCATCAAATGTAATCTTTATAATAATTATCAGCGTGCTTCATTGGATTATCCAGTTTCACAGAGCAATGCAGATAAATATATCTTGTTCAAATTACTCTGTAAATGTAAATAGATGCTCACTTTACATTTTACAAGTCTTATACCTGGCAAGAAGGAAGGCTCAGGGCAAGATCACATAACATGGCAGCTCACAGGTCAGGAAGTGTTCAAAACTACTGTTTAGGATTAGATTAAGCACGTTGATAAGGGTGATAGGGCACCAATGAGTTCAGATAGCCTTTATATATCACATTTTGGACTCCTCCAGGTATCCTGTGGAGCTGTACACTCACCTTCTACCAGCTGATCAATCGTGGTGATCTTCTTGGAGCCGTCCAGGGTGTAGATGGTCCGGACTCCCTGCGGCAGGTTGACGTTGTCGGACAGGGAGCGCGTCAGGTCGGCCAGGAGCGCGTCAAAGGTCCGGAACCTGTCCGCGGAGATGGCGTACACGATCCCGTTGAAGTACCGATCTCCGTTGCGGTAGAACCGGACCTTCTTGGCTCTCTTCTCGGCGCTCAGAGTCTTCAGAGTCCGGGTCCGGTACAGGCTGCAGTGGGCGCTGTGCGTCGGACTCGGCACCCCGTTCATCTTGGCACTGGAGCGGCCGTGCCTCTGACCTTTGTCCCGCTCGTCGAAGTGCTCCATCTCCATTTCACTACCGAGACTCACGAGTACGGCTGTACTGTCTGAAAGGGAGAAGGGGAGGGGGGGGGGAGAAACAAAGAGGGAGGAAAAGAAAAGTTTTCAAAAAGCAAGAGGTGCAGCGATGGAAGAAAGCAGTTTGCTGGTAAAGTAGCCAGCCGGTGTCCGTCGCTGGTGCGCGGTCTGAAAATAACCCCCTAATGACAGATTAAGTGCTCTTAAGCCGAGCAGTGGACAGCGCGCTTCATGACGACCCACAGTCTGACCGAGGGCGCAGGAGAGCTGCTCTGAGGCGCAGATGGATGGAGAGTCACGAATCGATTATAGCCTATTAATTTGGCCCCATAAATATTCACAAGATCCGCTGGAGAGATCCCACAACACTTCACCAAACAATGATTCAAACATTCAAGACATATTTTTACTTTTTAATCTTTGGCTGTAGACGCATGACTCGTTAAAAAAAAAAAAAAAAGAACACACAGAAGTATGTTTACAGCATCATAATCCATCATTTTCTCATCAGCTGATTGTCTTTCTTACCTACGCGAGCGATCAACGCTTCTGTGACGGTCACCTCCAGCCTGACTGATGCTTGATTCCCAAGTAGATGTAAAATAAATAAATAAATAAATAAAAAAAGAAAAGAAACCCAAAAACAAAACAGGGGTTTCAGTGAGCTTGTCGCTGACACTGATCGCTGTTAATGTGTGATCCTGTCCTGGCTGCAGTGAGCCGCCTCCCCCCTACTTGTGCGTCCCTTTGTTGTCCGAGTTGATGTGCGCCCCACCACCAAACACCAGGACGCGTGTGTTTGTGTTTTGTGTGCGTAGTGAGCAGAGAAGCAAGAGGCTGGACTGGTAATGGACTAGGTAGCAGCTGCTTCCCCTCCCATTCTCTCTCTCTCTCTCTGCTCTTTTTCTTCTTCTTCCACCCACCCCCTCTCCTCTCCTCTCCTCCTCCTCCTCCTCCTCCAACACGTCACTCTGTCGTGATTTTCATTGAGCGCCCCCACCCCTCATTTGGATGCAGACCCACGCTTCCCACCCGTGCTGCTGGTGGATTCTGCTCGGGTCCTGTCCCTGCATCCCACCCCCCCTCATCTCAGCCTCCGAAGACACGAGTCTGTTGAGGGGGTTGGTCAACCCTGATTTATGCCAATTTAAGTGCTTTTTCTTTAAAAGCTGCAACACTTTGATGCTCAATCTATTATTTCTTGACACTTTCTCTGGTCACAGTGGCTACCTTAGATCATCATTTCTACCTTAACGGACCTTACTGGTTGTCATTTCATACCTACTGAGCTGCATGTTTGCACACATTGTGATTACATCTGAAAACCTTGAGAGCACAAGCAGCACAAGAATCTTTGCACTTGGATTGTTATGTAACACGCTTTAAGTGGTTTTAACACACTAATACTGAATTACACAGAATTTCACAAGGCGGCGAGGATGCATGAGAGATGGAGAGGAGGTTGCCTTCTAGTTATCAGAAGTTGGTTTCTTCCTATAGGCTCTGAAGATTTTTTATGCCGGAATCAAGCCTCTGAAACCAGGAAGAGATAGAGACCACTGACCTACATCACGGCCTCCAGAGACCCCCCACTCCCTCCATCAATTATCTGTGCCACTGATGATGAAAGTTGCAGCTGCAGTCTCTCAAATTAGTGTCACTCTGTCGCTGTATTTACCGTTTAAGAAGTGGAAGACATAGATTTTTAAGTTTTCAGAGCTCAAAATCTTTGACTTTGCTCTTATTTACGTAACGTTTGGTGCATCGGTTTGCAAGGTTGCATGTCATCCAACTCATCTGCAACACAGTCAGTTAAATATTCAAAGACAGCACATGAATATGCACATGAATGAAACCGATTGTGTGACAGTGACAGAAATATTCCCTCCCACGCACACAGATTTTTCTATTTCGGAGACACACACACACACACACACACACACATACACACACAAGGACCCAGTGTGCGTCACAAACTGAGGGCTGACAAGGTGCTCCTGCCTAAATTCATCCTGAGGAAACAGGGCACACGTGGAGGAGAGTGTCTTTAAGGACGTAGGACACCGGCAGGACACAATTATGGTCCTAAAAGCAGGACAGAGTCAACTCTGGTACTTGTCAATTTATATACGCGTTCAAATGACAAAAGGAAACAAAATTGAAAACTGGATTACAGCATTGCTGTGGATAGAAACCATAGAAAGTGAGGTAAGTCTTGAAACTAGTTCTGTATTGTTTTGGATCTCAAGCTAAGCACTGAAAATATGACAGTTTATTTTCATCCACATTTGTGTCACCGACAAATTACAGACTGGCTGAAATGAAGTCAGCATGATATAGGCTTAGAAATATTGCAGCCTAACTAATGAAATATGTGCAATTCTTCATAGAGGCCATCTTTGTCCCTGAAGCATGACTAGGCAATTTCCTGAGATTCAGTTGACTTGTAGAGAAAGAGATTGAGAATTTGGCATGTGTGACTGGGGTTACTGAAGCGTCTTATTGGACACGTTTTATTTTATTTGTAAATTCAATCCAGAGCGCATTTAATGTAGACCAGACAGTTTTACGATCCACTACCCCTCATAAAAAAAGGATAGAAATGCTTTTATATGGCACTAGCTTCTCTCTGTGCTGCATGACAGCCACTGAAACAATTGTTTTAAACATAAAAAAAAAAAAAACAATCCCACAAGTAAAAGCACAATTTTGCATTTCTCTGCTAATGTAATCTCTGTGAAGTGAATAGTAATGAACCCACAGCTTGAGCTCAATCAGATGGATTGATGGGCTGATGACTCATAATGTAGCAAATCCCATCTGGAATAATTCTGAAAAATTAAATCGCTAAGCAGGAGAGAAATTTAAAAAACCCCCACACACAAACTGTTGACAGTTACTACAAAGATACTCCCACTATTCTGACATTAATCACTGCCTCTCTGTGCTACGACAACTTCGCACAACACAGCATGGCGTGCGAACATGGGCATGGACCCACAATTGTGATTCATCTCACAGGTTCACGTGCATGATTCCACACGTGTACGTTTTCAAATGAGTTCCTTATACACACACATATGCACATACGTGGTTTTTTACGGCTTACAAATGGTGAGTACAGACAGAGGAGCTTTAGCTGAATTAGCATGGGGAAGCAGCCGCACTGTGATTCATTGTGTTTTGACAGATACTGTAGTGATCTGTCATTGTGTTTCACTTGTCAGCAGAAGACATCTTGGTGGCTACTCTGTGGCTGTGTGAATCACGGGCAGGATGGAGTGATGTGCCAAAATGAGCATGCACGTGAAACAGAAAGAAAAAAAGAGACGCTCTGTAAATGTACTTTCTCTTTCATAAGGCAATATGGACCGACTATCTTCAAATTAAGTCATTAATCTAAGATAAACGGCCTGTCAGTGCAGCACATTTAGGACTGTACACCAAACCGCCCAACCATATCAGAAAGTCAATACCAGCAAATAAACAAATTCCTCCTGCAGGTGGAAATTAGAGCATCAGGATTCAAAGTGATGGAGTCATCTGGAGATACTTTTTGGATTCGGTTTATTGAACCAATACACCAATAAATTACTGTCACTGTGAGATGATACAATATTTGAGAGATTGCTTCTAAAAAACAGCCAATAATATCTGAATGTGGAGTTGATGTTGAGCTTGAAAAAGAGTTAAATTACCACATGGAAATGGAGTAGTAAAGTATACATTATTAGCATATTTTATAGCGGACTGCTCCTTTAACTGCTATCAGCTATACACCCCAGATTTGTCATATATTTTCTGATGGTCTGATGTTTCCTGACACCATGGGGTTTGCTCTTTGCTCCTCAAGTTAAAGGCCAGGTCCCTTGTCACTACAATTCTCTGCTGTGCCAGTTTTGGACATAAGGTCATAGATGTTAATGTCTAAATCACCCTTCATGAGATGTGCTTTGCCTGCAACCTTGTTGTCGCAAAACCAGATTTACAATTCATGAGCTATAATAAATGACGTGTGTATTCACAAAACCAATCACTGAACCATCAAGTTGCTGTATTTATAACATAAAAGTAAAAGGACAGGACAAAAATATGAATCCAAGCTGCTTTTGCCTATACAATCCTATCCCATCCTATAAGATTTCAATTCAGTGTTTTGAGGCTGTCAAGAGCTGAACCCAACCCACACACTTCACTAACACAAATGAAACGCTGCTGCTGGCAATTTTCCTGTTCACTACCTCATCTTGTAGGGATACAGTTTTCTTACACCCACATTTATAAAGGCGGTCAGTGGGTGGGACGGTAGGGGGGGTGACTGCTGTGCGGGTGAACTACATCCAAAGAGAGTGGTGGTGGTTGTGGTGCTGCTTACGTAACGCCAGTCGTAGGAGGTGATTTCATAAAAAAAATTGCAGCGACACAAGAAATGTCAGACCCAGCAGGTTTTTGGCACATTAAGGTCTGACCACACTGTAATATTCCTCCCTCTGAAACATTTTCTTCAAATAGCTACTCTTCTTAAAAGGCACATAAAGCACATAATAATCATTCTAGACTTCTGTAGTATTTTATACCATGAGATCATTATAATACTGTATTTGCCATCAAATGTAAAATAAATGCAACACTGACTACGGCACATGACTAGAAAAACCTTCATACAAAACCGCAACATTCCCAACACAAGGCCATTGAGCTGGTAAGTTTAATCATTCCAACAGAGAAGACCATTACCTCTTTTCAAAAACACTGACTTGGGGTTAAGGATTGTGTTTCATATAGTGCTTTAGGCTGGGTAACCTGCTTTCTCTTTGGGATTTCTTCTCTTCTCTCCTTTCTGTTGTTGTTGCTCCACCACCACCTCCTCCTCCTTTCACACGCACTCCTCCTCCTCCGTCTTCTTCTCCCTCTTTTCCTTTCTTAGAATCAGCCTCTGCCTTCCTGCTGGCCCGCTTCCCTCTATGCACCAAGAGATAACACAGAGACAAGAGCAGTTTTCTATTTCTACTAAACCACTTCAGCGAACTAAAATAACACTGAATATTGACATTTTTTTGCAACAATAACAGTCTAAGAAAGTACATCTTAGAATGTATGTGCTTATTATCTTTTTTTTGTCCAGCATGATTACTTTATTAGCTACAAATCAAGAGCTTGTACGGTAAGTCTGATCACAACACACATCAATTAACACAGGAATGATCATATTTACTCAGAGTGTGTATCACATAGTAATTTGAGGTGTTAATTGAGTCAAAGAGATTTTGAAGGCACCCTATAATATGAGTCAGTCCCTTATCGATAAATCAAATAAAAAATAAAAACAAAGTGGTACCACAAGTCAAACACATCAAAAACAGGTTTTATTTGTGTGGATATCTTACTGTTCTGTTTTTTATATTATTTGTTAATTCTTCTGTCACATCTGAAGCCATAATTTGTTGTTTTTATAATTTTGTCCATCACCTGGAAGTGTTGTGCCTCACTGACCTCGTGTGTTTGCTCTCTGGCGCCCTCTGTGGCTGAGTGGAGTACTGTCTTCTCTGGGTTTCATGAGAGGAAGACAGCTGTTGTAAAGAACGATTGATGATTATTACAATGAGTGCACACCAGATGTAGCAATATTGTATTTAGCTAAATGTACTTATTCAGATGAGTAGAATAAAAAAAGAAAAACCTGAAGCTTTGACACTCACAGTGAGGGGATCTGGTGGGCCTGTTATGTTTTGGGGGGCATTTTGCTGGAATTGTTTGGGTCTATTTGTTCACACAGAGGAAGCTTTACTACCTGGTACAACGAATGGTAGGCCCTGGTTTGCGTTCTACACCTGTGTCTGACAGCTGCCTGACTTTTTAGAGCTTTTTCACTATAATCAGTTAAGCACTGAATAAAAGCCATTGGAGGTGTATCAACACAATAAAACTGCTGGCTGAAAAATTGAAATAATAAGCTGTAAAGTGAACTGATACAGAACTGGTGACAAAGCGATTCCTACTCAAGCAGCAACTTCCAGGGTTGTAAAATTAAGCCAATGTGGAACTCTCACAAACTGCAGTTCCATGAATGGTCACTTGAGGCCGGCTCCAAAAGCGAGTTTATACCCAGAGGCCTGTCATGTTAAAATGCTCACCTTTACAGCAGAAATAAATATATAAAGATGGTTTTGTCTCTGTATCTAATTATCCCATTCATGACAACTGTACAACAGGAGTATTTTTAGATCATTAACCCATTTTAATGTGAGCTTTTGTGTTGACAGCAGGTTCGTGTTGTGCCAGGCAACATCACGTGCTACTAAATGCAAAGGTTTGTCTCTACAGTGTAGACACAGAGAAATGCAGCTTGGTTTCAGTTCAGTTTCATCTCTGCAGTATCCAGTTTTGTTGCAGCATGAGGCAGAAAGTCCTTGACTTACTTCTGTGACTGAATAGAGCTTCACCTATTATATAACAAGAGCATGAATGAGAAATCATAACTAGGTCTGCAGGAGAAGCGTCAGAGAGCAGAGCAGTGTGCTATCTACACGGTATGCATGACAGTAAATGTGTACGTTGTCCTCTTGTAAAACTTAACCATATTTCATAGTCAAAACTTAATAGTCAATAGGTTGTATTTGAGAGCTACTTGCTTGTGGAGATATGGAGAAATAACATTTTGAATGCTTACCTTAGTAATTTCTGAAAGGTATGCTCGCCTCTCATCATTGGTTTTATGAAATGCCTGATACATAAAAAGAAATAAATGGTGTCATATTTTTTAATCATGAGTTACAGTACTGTCAATAATCTGTCTGCTCATGGGTATAAAGCTCGTTTGCTGTGTGTTTGTGCATGTGCGCCTTTCAGAAGACTCCAATGTTAATGAGCGACAGATTACAGCAGGGATTACTGGCTGAGCATGCTTTACGCTGAACCTTTTTTCAACTAATATCTCACTGTTTCTTGAGCAGAACAATAAACAAAGAACCAAGTGGCAAAACTAAGAGCGCACTCGCCGAGTCGAAGCAGTGCAGGACAAAGGTTAAGGACTGATTTTGTATAAGTGGGTTGTTAAAAAATAAAGAATGCAAAACAAAACTATCAGCCAAATCCTTTTCAATCCACTGTTAATGATTGTTATTTGTAACTAAAATATGTATTACCTGGAAAAACCAAAAGCTGCTTGTGTACAAAATAATTAAACTAGACAGCAGACAATGTGACCCACAACAACACTTAAATCCCTTCTCACTGTTCTTGGAGAACAGTCGAGACTCGCACCTTTCCCTCCTGCTCAATGTGAAGATGACAGTCCATCAGCTGACTCTGGAGGTCGGACTTCTCATCAGTCAGAAACTTCAGACGCTGCCTCAGCGTTTCCTGCGGCAAAGTGTTTCCATTAATTAGAAATTTTCAGTATGAAGCTGTCATGCAGCCGAAGACTAATTACAAACCAATTTGAATTAAGCTGTGCAAGGATCAAACAATAACAGAACGGTTAATGCAGAAAACATGAGCAAGAAAACGGATTGGGCTCATACATTATTCAGTGACTATATAAACACATTAGTGCAAAGACATGGTAAGGCTACGTTAGATTTATAGCACTGAGCAGAGCACTGAGACCTGGTGCTTTGCTGGCTTTGGAACAGTCTTGTTCTTGTGCCCAGAAATATGTACCTGTAGTAAGCATTACTGAACATCATTTGATCTGTAGGAATGCCAGTTTTTCAGAATCAGTGTGACACTTTGGTACGCCATTAAAGGAATAAGTCGTACTTTTCAGGATCTGTAAGTTCTAGCTTCATTCTTTGGATCACCAGACACTGTAACACTCTTGTATTACTTAATTCTACAGAGCCCAGTGGTACTAACATTTATCAGATAACGATAATATACATTCTCCTCACACGCTCAGTCTATCTTAACTGTCACGCTCACAGTTTGTCGACATCTCTTCAGCCCACAATCTTGCAATCACCGCTCGGATACACTAATGAGCATCTGTTAGCTCTGCCCTAAGGCGCAGAGACGCATGCATATTTAGACTGTATTGTGCAACAATCCAGTGTGTGGTATGCGTTTGTGTGTGCATTTATGTGTGTTTAAGCATTGTAATTAGTGTGCATTACTCTCCTATGGTTTGTAATCCCGTGATTACGGTGCTGTGATTAAACTCTGGTTTATTCTGCCTGCATCGACGGGAGGTTGGAGAGCAGCTGGCGTTACAATCCTCTCAGTCCTGTCTGCACTCTCTGCTCATCCTGTATCTCTAGCTCTCTCTGCTGGTATGTGCTTATGTCTAATATATATTTCCAGCTCTTTCTGGAACATTTCTCTGCTAAATGAAAAAAAAAATGCAGAAAAAAACCCCAATAAAACAAAACAGATGAAGAAAAAAAACTCAATAGAAAATGTTTGTACTCACGACTGGCATGTCATCATAAGATCGGATAGAGGCCAGTCGATCTGTAAAAAACAAGAGCATTAAGCATGTGTGGAATAAAATACTAACTTGCTTAAAATGGGTAAATATATTATAGGGAACATTTTGTGTGTTGATGGGATGTTAGAAAGATCTAACATCCCATTCTGAAGGAAGTCAAGTATCTGTTCAAATGTGATAACACAAATTATATCTTTCAAATGGACCCGATATACATAGTTCTTTAGGACAGCAGCAGCCTGTTCTCAACAATCTCATGGAGCTAAGACAGAGGTGCCTATTAGACTCAAAATAATTTTCTGTTTGTTTCAAAGTGAGCAAGCATCAGTCCGTGTTTGCATCATGTATTGCAGATGCTGAGATTGCTTGATGTATTGCAGTAACACTATTTCTTGGTATGGAGAAGGCAAACTACACAACACTCTGAGGTATGTTTAAGCTGACAGATTCCAATAAAACCCAACAAAAGTACTTCCAGAATAAACTACTTGCCCATCGGGTTTCCTCGTATGTCCTCCAGTCTCTCGTGAATGAGTGAGATTTGTCTTTCCAGCTGTCCATTTAGCTCTACCTGGGTCTCATATCTTGTCTTCCACTCATTTCCTGACACATCAGAGTATAAAGAGATAACTGTCACATCATAGTCCCATTTGGGGCAGGACACAATACAGACGATACAGAAGAGCGTCTGGCCTGACAAGATAAAGCTTTGTTTGGTACATTCTGGCTCTGTGGTTCAAGGGGATATGTACACCCAGTTTGAATGTAAATTATTGCTATTATTTATTGAAGCACTTTAAGGGAGGTGGCAACTTATCAGTGTGATCACTTTTGGGGGAGGAAGTTTGTGGTGCTTTCAAACTGTGTGAATTATGCATAGAGGTGTTCCTGTTATTTATCTTAGTCTCATCCGACTCATCAATCAATCAGACTTTACTTAAACAGCACTTTTCATGCAAAGAAATGTAACACAAAGTGCTTTACATGACAAACAACAAAAGCAGGATAAGTCAAAATTCAGAGGAACAAGATAAGAAAATAATAAAGACTAAATTCGAGTAAAATGTGTATTAAAAAACAGAGAAATCTATAAATATACCAAGTAATAATAAATAAATACATTTGTTAAATAAATACAATTAGACAAAAGCCAGACTAAAAATCGGTTAGGTCTTCAACTTGATTTTAAAACCATCCAAACTCTCTGGCGTCCTCTGGTCTTCAGGAGGGCTGTTCCACCAACGTTGATCATAATAACAAGAGACTGCCTCTCTGTGGGTTTACGTTCTGACCTTAGGTTTAATTAAAAGGCCACTACCAGAAGAGCTAAGGGTTCTAGAGGGTTCATAGGATAAAAACAAATCCGATAAATAGATAGGACCAAGACCATTAAGAGCTTTATAAACCAATAAAAGGATCTTAAAATCAATTCTGAAGCACACAGGTAGCCAGGACAGAGACTTTAAAATTAGTGTAATGTGTGCTCTCCTTATCAGTCAACACATGCAGCTGAGTTTAGAAGCAACTGAAGTTGAGATATAGTCTTCTTGCGGAGACCAAATAGGAGAGTATTACTAAAATCAATCTTGCAGGTAGCAACAGGGTGAAGCATTGGCTCGAGAAAAAACAATCACACTTTGGCAATGTTCATCAAATTAAGACAAAACATTAAGTTTCTCTCTCAGTTTCACAACAAATGACCAAGATTTCTGTTTTGTTATGATTGAGCTGTAAGAAAGGATCTGCCATCCATAAGTTGATATTTAAAATACAGTCAAAAAGGGCATCAGAAGGGTGGAGGGCCAAAAAACACCTGGCAATGAAATCAACAGCAACACAAACTGCAGAATTCAAAATGAACATACAGTTGGATCTACAGCTCTTTAAATAAAAGAAAAAGAAAAATATACTCTTTATGAAGCAGGACTGTTGTATCTGTATCATTAATGTATTTTTTCAAACTTAGTGCCTGTAATAAATTGCCAACTGAGTGTATATAGCAATAAATATATTATAAAATATAATCTAAAATGATGTATTTTGTACTCACCTTCTCCATCAACACTGTGCAGCCTTTCTTGCAGTTCACACATGGTGCTCTGCAGATCAGACACCGACTCCTCAAGCATTTCTCTGCAACCAACAGGAGCCAGATGCTATTTTTGCAGCAAACATTTAATCTCTTTAACAACTTTGTAGAGAAAAGAAAAAGTTACCTAAATAAAAACTTACTTCATCTCCCTCTCTTGCTCAAGTTCTGCCTGCAGCCGCGCCAGATCGTATTTGCTGTAGTCGCAATCTTTAGTCATGTTTCTTGCGGAAAAAAAACCCCAAACTTGCATCAACCGAGGAAAAGTTTGTGACACGGGGTTTCCATGGAGACCGCTGTTTTACGGCTCGTCCGGCCGGCGTCGAAAATCCTGGCGCAGATTTAGCGGGAGGTTTGAAAATAAAACCTCCTGACAGCGCAGTAATGAAAAGCTTAAATTGCATCGTCTTTACAAGCAGTGATATCTCTTTTTTTTATTTTTTTTTGCAGACAGATGTTTTATTAGGCTCATTTCGTTCGTAATTACGCATGGAAATGAGCTTCCTCTCTGTACCGAGCTCCTAATTCAACATTAATGGTATAAATGTCACTTGATTTATTGCCACTCTTGCAGGGTTTCAAATTATAATAGATAAACAACACAGAGCTTTGCATGTGTGTGTGCACCAGAGAGCAGCATTTTATAGCCTGCATTTTATATCCCTCTCCAAGAACGCCAGTGTAAACATCGCATATAAAAATACATTAAATGTATAGCTAAAACACGAGATTTATATCCTTTCAAATTACATTTATGCATTTTATGATACATTATGATTGCAATGCAAACATTCTGTATTTACAGATAGGTGACAAATCAAATGAAAAACCTGAACCCTTGAGCCCTACAGTGAGGGGATTGATTGACACACATGGGTCATTTGGGTAACACTTTATAATAACTATCCGTTATAACTAGTTAATAGATCATTTGTAAGCTGTTAATTAGTGAGTTGTTAACCACTTGTTAAGTGTTTGTTAATAGTTTGTTGATGATTTATAACGATGCTTTAAAGATCGGTAATATATCATTTACAAACTGTTAGTTAATGAGTTATAAATGACTTGTTAACTGTTACGTTATTCTAAAGTTGCAACTATTTCTCATTTATAAATCCTCGTTATAAATCATCAACAAACTATTAACAAACACTTAACAAGTGGTTAATAACTCACTAATTAGCAGTTTACAAATGATCTATTAACTAGTTATAACAGATAGTTATAAAGTGTTACCGTCATTTGCAGTTAAGCCATAATGGAAATAGCTTTTATCCCATTCGGTTCCCTACTTTTTCTCCATCTGTGGGCCTTCAGTAAGTTTTCTGTGGGCGAGAAACACAAGTGCTGAGAGTAATCACCTTTTTTCTATGTGGGAACATTTTGATATTGATGAGAGTGGTCTCCTCCAGCATAACAATGGCCCCATTCATAGGGTTCAAGATGTTACTGAATGGTTTAAGAGTATGGAAATGATGTGATGGTGTTCACAAAGACCAGATCTCAACCTAATAGGGCACCTATGGGTGATTCTGTTGGCTCTCCACCACCATTATCAAAACAACAAATAAGGAAATTTTGAAAGAATAGTGTTCGTGCCTCCAGTAGAGCTCCAGATACCTCTAGAATCAACATCAAGGCACAGCAAAGTTCTTCTAGCAGCACAACACCTTATGTCACATTGATTTTTCCTTTGTCACCTGTCTGTAGTTGTAGTTAGAACTTTACTTGTCGCTAGAATGTTTTGTCATATACAAATACATAATGACAAGCCAACAGAACCAAAACAAAAAACCTTTTGTATTAAAGTTTATACAATCCAAACGTAAATTAGAATATAAAGGTATCCTTGACCTTAAGAGCTATAAAATCCCTTGGTTATTACCTTGTGATGGAATATTGCACGATGCCTGAGGTTCATTCAAACACTTTCACATCCATAATTAATACAACAAAATAGCTACTTCATAAACGGGTGGCCTATTTCATTGTATAAATTAGGAGGTGAGCCACCAAACTAACAGAGAACAAAGACAAGATTCAGCATCCTATGGAGATCTATTTTTTCTTCTCTTCCTCTTCTTTTTTCTGCACATCCTTCTTGTCCGTCTCTGCCTGAAGCTCTTGTTTCTGCACATCCATTTGCTCTGTTTTTGCTTGATGCTCTTGTTTCTGCTCCTCTGTGCCCTCTGCTTCTGCCGACTGTCCATTTGGTTTTTTGACCATGGCCTTGGCTGTCGTCTTGCCAAAAGTCTTCAAGATGGCTTTGAGGCCCAGATTGTCAATGTTGAATGCAGTCAAGCCAACATTTCCGACTGACTTGAGAGCAGTGTCTGTGGCTTGGCCTGCATCGTCGCCGTACCTTCACCACGAGTAACATGGTGGAGATAGGGAAGAGTGGTGTGGTGGGAAAAAAATAAAATGAGGGTGTGTATAAAACCGAAAGACTAGTTGGCTACTGATGCCATTCAATAAAAACAAAGTCATATCTCACTTTGAAGCCGTTTATTAGTAACAATCTAGGAAAGCAGTCTACAAACAGTGTGAACAGCAAGAGAATCACCACCCAACAGGAGCTGATATTTAGCTGCAGTTAACATGGACAGACCCAGAAAGACATACCAGCAGCTTACAGTGTCTACACAGAAGCTGTAGCTTAAGCAACATGTTAGCACAGCAGCAACTCAGGCAATTTACTCGTCTACACAGGAGGTGTTCAGGCACGGTATTGAGTGTAGGTCACCTGTGTTTTCAAAGCACTCACACATTATTTTAACTACACACTTTACTCAGAGGAAAATAGACTTGAAGTGCAAATTACACTTCAGGCTGCATTAATGGATGTATGGCGAGTGTAAAATGTGAGCTGTTACACAGCCTGTGTAGACCAGACTACTAGGATTTTTTTTTAAGTAAAAAAAAAAAAAAAATGAAAAAAAGAAGGCAAATACATAATTTATGTGTCCAACATACATGAATAAACAAGCATGTTTTAAGAAGACACTGGTATGTTTGTTGCTGCATTAGGTTTGTGGGTTATTGAGTGTTATTTTCTGACTTGGTTCGGGTTAGTGAAAGAGCATGCATGAAAGGGTTGAGCAGCAGTGTTAGTTCACAAGCCTTTGCCGTTACTCCCCCGTGCAGTCATATGTTGCGGGACATGTTTATAAGATTCTCTAAGCCCCTAAATCTGAAAAGAAATAGTTGGAAAAGCAGGTCAGTGCACCAACATACCAAGAAGAAAGGACCACAGTAGGCAAAGTATCGGGCTGGTTTCTGATCCAGCCCTCAACTGCTTAAAGTGACCAAACAGATTCAGAAAAAGGGTAAAAACAGGATATGCGATAATCAATTCCTGATCCTATTCATTAAATATAGAAGTAGTAATGAGCAATATCTGAACTTACTTGTACTTCACTGTGGTGACAGTCTCTGTGGCAACACTTTTGCAAACAAGCTTTGCTCCTGTCTCCAGACTTGACCAAACAGTACTGAAACCTAGTTTGGGGGAAAAAAAAAAAAGAATCCTGATTTCTCTAAAAAGACCTGGATCCACTATCATTAATCAAACAGCAAAAATATTTCAGCACTTTATGTTAGATATAGATTTAGTGATAGACAGATTGAGATTAAGAGTTACTGACAGTACTGTGACAGATAATGCACAAGGATCAGTGCAATAACATAACTTTGTGCTCATGCCCTGTAGTTTTGTACATACCGTGTACACCACTGGCTGCTACATACTTGGCTCCATCCAAGTTGGACGCTCGGCCATCTTCGTGTTTCTTCAAAGACTCCGGGACCAGCTTAGCACCATGTTTCTTCACATGGGGCACCACCTTTTCTGCCACATGTCCTGCCACTGTACTCACTCCATTCACTATGAATACAAAAGGCAACACAACAGAAAAAGAAAAATAGATACATATCCACGTTCAAGACCAGCACTTAAAAGAAAAAAGAAAAAAAAAACATGAAAAAGTTTTACTACCACCACCCGAAAGGAGTTTATATTTCGATCATTATCTTAGGAAAGGATTTAAATTCTTGGATGACGTCAAAACGAAATGCTCTGATTTATTTCCTGTTGGATGAGTCCTTACCCAAGAACTTGCTGACTCGAACAGCGCCCCCAGTGGCCTGTTTAGCCACCTGCAGACCTTTGCTGACCTGGGGGCTGACCTCTGAAGGAGTGTCCTCAGGCGTGATGTGGTCCCGAATCTTAGCTGCTCCTTTCTGGATGGCCTTGCCAGTGGCCTCTGCTCCTTTTGCAAATGACTGACTCAACCATGTAGATCCTACAGAGACATATTTTTGGAAGTGAAAGTGCATCTTATGTCCTGTGGTCTCAAAATGTCCATTGGATACATGTGAACAGGCGGTTGAGCAACAGCACTGAATCCTGTGCAGGAGAGACTGCTGCTGCGGTAAACAACACCCACTGGTGGTCGATGTTGTAGAGAGAGGGACATCTGCTGTAGGTGAAGTGTTTGTGCAACACTGTGCAGTGATGTTTTGTTTTTATTTTCTTTCTTTCAGAACTCTCACTTATAAACTCACCTGACGCAATTCCTTGGGCCACCTTCTCACTCCAACCAGGAAGTAGCGGTTTGTCCTTCTCCCCTGTTGGTACTGTCAGTCCTATTTTCTCCTCAAGGGGACCCAATGGGACTTTGGTACTCAAGTTGATGACTTCTGACCCTGTCCCCTCTGGACCCTGTCAAGGAATCAATCAGTCATAATTAGTGAATACATAGTATAGTGTTTCTAAAATGTGTGTACGCCCAAACAGGCTACAGGTGACTTGTACTGTTACCCACAACTCGGCAACTATTTTTTTTCTTCCTGTTAAGTATGAAGATAAAAATGTGATACGTGTTATATGTCTACAAGCACCAAGACATCTTGTGTAACAACCTGATCAAAGCACAAAATGAGTGTTCCTCCTCAGCAAAATAGCATGTGAATATTTTTGTTCAGACATGGTGGCCAAGTCAGAAATAGCGATTGGTGAATGACACTGACACTCCAGAGTTTGCTGTTCTCCTGAGAGGCGCATTGTTTTAGGCCAGAGTCAAATTAAGAATAACACATAACTGGCATGACATATAGCTTCAAATGTGCTTCAGAAATTGCTCAATCATTTAGAAAGTTTTGCAGTCAAAGTGGGAGGAATAGCAGAAATACAGAGGTGAGAGCATGACACCTAACAGGAAGTAAGAAAGGAATAAAAGCAAAAAGCTAAACTAATGAATAGAATATAAAAATCTTACATAGATATGAACCATGAAGTTACACAAGATCACAATGCTCACTGGGTCGGCACAGTATTAATATGGTGCATTCATATTTTGTGTCATCAAACATACTTTATATATAGGCTATATAGACATCAGATTTAATAATTATTTTATTATAATATACACAACATGCATGCAAAATGTAGCATTCCAGGACATTTTTATTTTTTTTTGCAAGTTCAAATGTTTTTGTGCACTGTAAAAAAAAAAAAAAGTAAACATTGTTAAACATGTTTTAAATGTTACTTTTGTTATTGTATAGATTTTTCAATTTTTCTAAATTATTGATCATTTCTAGTAATATCAAAGGGGGAAAAAAGGACAATTTACACGTGAACCATAAAAGAACAGGCCAAAATGGTGAATAATGTCCACATCAGAAAACTAAATTTTTATAAACTATAATTAATTGTTTTACCATATTTGATGGTAAGCTTAGATTATTCTTACAGAAAATAAATCAGCAAAAAAAAAGTCTTCATGTGCTATTATTTGAAGAAAAAATGTACTTTATTAAGGATTGAATTTATTGAATTTCCCTTCTGGGATAAATAAAGTAGTTTTCATTTCATTTCCAAAATAACTTTTTAACTGTTATGTTGCAGATTTTCTGTTTCGCTAAATTACAAATAATATCAAGTAAAATCTAGACTAAACTATACACAATGTCTACATCATAAAGTCAGTATTTCTACAGAACTAATTTTTTTCTTTTACAATGTGTGACTTAGAATTATACATATTTACTGTATCTAAATATGCTAAAAATATTGTGCTACAGATATCTGCCATCATTTTTACAGTTATTTCATATTTTTTCAGGCACCGCTTTTTTAACAGATTTTTTATTTTTTATTTTTTTTACATGGTACTTGCTTTGTTTGAAGCCCCAAAGTTTAGATCATTGTAAGTTACAAATAGAAAGAAGGCCCCAAAGCTTCATACAGCTTCACCTGGCCCTTGTTAGCAACAAAGCAACTAGGCAGTTATGTGGAACATTTTTTTTTATTTTTTTTTAAAGGAACTAGTATACCATGATACACAGGATTCTACAAGGTTTACCATTAGCCATCACTGTTTATTGTTTATGTTCAATCTCCCCACCCTACACTGTCCTTTTCTCTCCAACCACAGAGAAACACCCTAGACAAATGGTATCAACACATCTGCTCCACCCACATGCATACTCATCCTTATACTATATGTGTTTCAGACTGGAAGCAAAGACTCACCTGGATCCTGAGTTCAGTAAGCTGCGATAGGACGTCTTGAAACATCTCTCGGTCAGCAGCAGGCAGTTCAGAGGACAACACCAGACCCACAAAGGACCCTGGGGTCTCTGCCAAGGTGTCAGGGAACATGAAGATCCCAGAGTTGGCCAGTAGCACTGGAGTGTCGGCTGTCAGCGGGTACAGGCAGTCACACACCTTGAAAACGCAAAGACAGAAAAATAACAGGGATGATAAAGTCCTCTAGGTCAGAGGGCATCTTTATATCCAAGGAAGTTGCATTCAATTCCACTGATCATCTATGGTAGTGGGTTTAAAAAGAACATGCGGCATACACTTCATGTCCACTGTTCTTAGCAAAAACCTCCATTTTAATGAGACAAAACATAGGAAACGATAGCTTTTGATGAGTCATCGTTTCTCTATGGGGCAGCTCATAAGGTGTGAGATGGAAATCATCCCATATCCAATGCTATTTTACCCAATAACTTCATTATCAGAGGTGGTTGGTAGCAAGTCCCAGTTTCTCTTTTATGGCACAAAACGCTTGAGCAACCACAACGTCTCCTGTTCTTTGAAATCTCTCTCAAAGACACAACACAGGATTTTAACCCCATGAGGACGTACATATCAGTTATGCACACAGACATAATACAGATACAGACTTGCTGCTGCACCGTGCTACTGGTATGCCGCCTGACAGAATGACCTCTGCGAGGGCGCAGGACACTGACCAGCAGCACAACAGAAGTGCAGAGTCATCTGTTAATGGGACCATTGTCTTGCTGAAAACAAAGAAGGACCAGAATACAGGAGAGCAGCCCACCAGCCTGGTCTGGTGGGAAACAGAGTCATGGGTTGCAATGGAGTACACAACACAGCATAACACACGCTCTGTAGGGGTGCCAGAACAGATTCGTATTTTATATTCACTCAAATATCAAACAGAAGTACCTGCTGAAGGACCTCATCGACGTTAATATGAATCTCAAATGACACACAAATGTATTTCTAACACTTGAAAGAAATGTTGTAGCACCAGGTCAACCAATCCTATCATCAACAGCTGGAGTTTAATGAAAACAATGTAACTGGGGGTGAAGCAAATCTTCCAGGAACAATTTTTTTTTACATATGCAAAATACAACTCATGTGGACAAAGGATATATGAGGATGCACCACAAAGACGACACCAGCGTCATAAGAAAAATATTTCTTAGTGAATAGTCCTCAGTCTACGCACAAACACAGTGACTCATAGTTAGTTATGAAATGCTTCTGACAGTGACGAAGTGTTTTCCCCGGGGGACACACCCACTTACCTGGAAGACACACACCCAAGGAAATACTTCGTAAACATTGCTGACATTATGCTACGTAATCTTCTTTTCTGAGCAAGATCTAACACAAGAATTTTCTTGGGGAATTATGAAGTTCTATTTTATCTTATCTTACATCTTAACATATCCACACTCACACAAGATATTTAATATGACATATACTTACATGTAAAAATGCTGAGGATCTCCCATCAGTGGAATTCCCTTGCTGGTTGTCGAATGCGATGATGCGAAGGTAGCCTGGGGAAGACAGCGAGCTGACCTGTCCATTTGGTGCAACAAAAAACAGCTGCACACCTGTAGGGATGGAAAGCAGCTCTTGTCCATCGTCTCCAACTGCCGCGCCGGTCTGCTTTCCTGAACCAAGACCGCCTCCATTAGGACCATAAGCCAGGCTGCGGTGCCCATTTGTGGGCTGTGGTGTGTACACCGGAGGCTGGTCCCCTGCGTTATCCATGGCTGTCGTTCCTGGAGCCGCTGCAGGGACTGAGTGTGTGTGCCTAACAGCAGGGGAGGGAGGCCTGGGAGGGGGTGTAGGGGGGGTTGTGTTCTGAGTGGTGGCAGGTATGGTGGGGTACAGATGGTGGGTAGAGCTATTGGGAGGCTGACTGTTGGGTGCCAAGTCTGGATAAAGATTACGAGGAAGATCCTTCAACAGTAAGCCCCTCTGGGCTCCTGTTGTCAGCTGAGAGTTTTCCAGGGCAGAGAGGTGGGCGTTGACAGTCTTCAGAGTGTCCCTCATCCTCTGCTGGAGCTGCCGAGCCGTGTCCCACACCGCTCCCTGCTGCCTCTCCCCTCCGGTGGGAACATCCACTCCCTGAGTGAGGTGCTCTTGGCCTTTCCTGTAATACACCAGGGCCTCTGCTCTATTGTCTGCCTCCTCAGCCACCAATCCACGACTCAGTGAGGTAAACGCACTCTCATACTGGTCCTTGATGAGCAGCAATTCAGCAGGTTCAGCCATCCTGAGGAGTAGAAACAAGTGCTTTACAGTAATCCCAAAACATAATGACTGACATTGATTGGTGAGATACTTTTTCTAATCAAACAGTGATTTACCAGTTGAGCCCAACTTGTTTTTAGGCCTAATGTTTGTACAAATGAGTCGCTTGGATGGGAGACAACTGGGATTGCAAGACTGAAAGGACACTTCAGTAGGAATCAGTGAGACAAAAGGAAGCAACAGAAAACAGGAGAGGAGCGTACAGTACCTGTCACCAAGATGTGAAACGAAAATGCAGTTCCTTAGACGTTGAGAAGCGCCTTCAGTTCTCTGCTTCAGCACTCTGACATCAGGTTACATCCGTCAACATGTGAAACATCTCAGTAATGTAACTGCTGTTGGCAGCTGCGCGCGGTTTAAACGTCGTCAGCGAGCTAACACATCTGGTTTAACCTGAATAACTAGACCCAAGTGTGTTTTCTTGTGTCCTCGCCTAACAGAAGATTTACATTTAAACAGCAGTAGTTTACACTTTTTTTTTTTTTTTAATCTCATTACCGCATTTACCGAACAATAAGTACATCTCTGTTACATTTCAGACATCACTGTTAGCCTGCTGGGAGACAGAAAGTTTAAATGTGACCTACCTAGACAAGCCAAACTTTGATATCCTGGCAAAGAAAACAAACAAATAAAAACAGCAGATAAGTGGTTTTAAAGGTGCCTTGTCAAAGTTTTGTTTTTAAAAAGTTATTCTGTCCTCCGACAGATGTGAAACAGATTCCTCATATCAGCGTGTTCACCTGCCTCATAAGTGGTTTAATCCGGCGGAGCAACAGCAAAACAAACAGAGACGACTTCCTGCCAAAACCTTCAAAATAACACCCACAGACTTCACAACAGGCTACAAGTTACTATAAATAATGGCAAATGAATTGAAAAAACTCACAGAAGATATCAGAGATACTCAAAGCATGTTTTCTCTAAAATAGTAGATTAAATAAAACAAATTAAGCTCTTAAAAATGCTTTAATTAATGCCCCCTTCTGCAAACCGGATATAGTCGATTTTCATTTCAGGTCTTTTTTGGGTGATACTGGACTTAATCTTCAACATTAAAATTATTTTTCAAAAAAAAGGAAAAAAAATGGTTTTGAGGTATTTTGTTGTTACATTTATTATTACAAATAGTTTTATGTTTTTTTTGTTTTTTCAAGAAGCTTTCTTTATGTTGTTATTTTCCAGTGTTATAGGTTAGCCATTAGTATGAAGTAAAAATGGAACTATTAATAGCATGTGAAAGTGTCAGAGTTCAACATTTGATGTAAATCCAAATAATAGCTCCTTGTTTCTTAACTACAGCACATTAACAGAATGTAATTCTGTTAATGCAAATTATTCAAACATATGAAGGCATGTGCATGCATACACACACATGCAACTCTTGCACAATGTACACTACACTTTTGTTTTACAGTCTCTTTATCTCTCACATTGTATGACTTTACCTTTTTTTCTTCTTTTTAAAAAAAAATCATGTCTTGCTGTCATTGCTCAGACTTGTGGAACAGTCACTTTATATTTAACTGCACATATTGTATGAGCATTTGACAAAACTCTTGAATTCAGGGGGGGAAAATCCCATGGACATCAATAATTTTTAATACTCTAACCTAAATTTCAAATAAATTATGTTCACTATAACCTAATACAGTAATATAAATGTTAACCATAAGCTTAACAAATACTGTTATCTGACTTTATGTCAGATGGCCTTGCTGTCATGATTTAATTGCCCTCTATTTGTTTACTTAATCATCTTTCATGTGTACATGTTATATTGATTTTTATTGAATGAGTTTTTCCCTAGTTTACATTCTATTGCAACATTTTACCTTTAAAATCTGTTTGTATCGACATGTGCAAGTATTTAAATTCTTAAAGTTCATCTCTACTTTAAAAGGTTTTACGCTCAGTTTTACTTGTCTTGGATGCTTGACTGTCACCTGGCAGACTGGTGTGTATCCTTAAAATAGAAGATTGCCTTTAAATTCTTGTGCTGGAAAGTGAAAAGTTTCTCTGTGCCACCTAAAACCTGGGTTTAAGGAATGATTCATATTAAAATTGAAATGTCTGGTATCAGGGAGTTAAACAATCAGATACAACTTAATATTCCAAGCAGAGTATTTTATTGAACATGTGTGGAGGTGAAGTCGTTAAGTATGCTTTTAATTATTAAAAATTCTACTTAATTCTATTATTGAATATAGTAGAAAAAATATAAGAAAATATCTCAAGATGATGAAGTGCCCAGATGGGCGTGGCATGTACGGAGCTGACAGCAGAATCCGCTGAGTTTGTTTTGTTCTCAGCGTCATTATGTTCTGGCAGGAGGATCAAGAGGGTGGAGCAGTGATTCATAAGAAAGGCAAAACAGCAGGAAGAGTGATCCAAGAAACACGACAATACCTGTAAATGGGGAGAGATAAGACATCAATTTAATGGTGTAAAATTGCATCTTGGCCTAGAATGTAAAACTAGACAGTTCTATGAGGCTCCTAAAGGCTTGTAGTGTACTTGTGCTGTTTATAAAGTTGTCTTACTTTATATTCTAAAAATCTATATGCCATGGCTTACTTAGAACTTCTGTATTTGTTCCTGATGGCCTGCTGTGGGCAGCTCTCTGCACTGATGGATAGTTTGTGGAGGTCAGTCAGGCAGGGCACAATTTCAGCCATGGTATACCCAGTAAAGGCATTTAGGGAGTCAGGCTAAAATGCAAAAAAAAAAAAAAAGGTGAAAAGTCATATTTTGTCTAATTTCCTGAGAAATTCCAATAAAAAGGACCTTTGGCACTGGACAAACTTACCCAGAGAGATCTATTTATAGTGTAGGTGGCTAGGCAGTAGGCTGCAGCAGCCACTATAGATGGGGTGTACTGCAGGAATGGACCAATTTCTAGCAAACTTAACTCTGTTGCATACTAGAAGCAGAAAAACAAGAACAAAATATGATAAAGAGACAAGGAAAACTGTCTCCTTGAAGGCAAAACCTGACTGCCATTTGGTTGACTTTACTCACCAGGGCAAGGTTCCTTGTCATGTCACAGACTGAGTGGATGGACATGAAAAGGTGAAGGAACTGGCTTGAGGTTGGTGCTGCCATGTTGAAGTCAAGCACACTCAGAAGAACCTGCTCCATCCGGACCAACTCTTTCTTCTTGTAGGTGTTGTCAGTGATGTACACAAACTCGTTCAGGTCAGGAGGTGTGATCTCCTCATATTTTCTACAAGGGTAAAAATCGCATGACATCAAGTTATAGGTTTCAAAAATTCCTCAGTGCTGCTCCATAAACTGACTGAATGGAACAGGGGCGATATGTAATCTTTACATAACAAACATATTCTTACGAAGCAATCATCAGTGCAGCTGTGCCAACCAGCTGCAGCTTCACCCGTTTCACATAGCCTGTGCAGGAGAGAAAGCGGTCCATGTAGTTGACAGCAAGGTGCAAAGTTTCAGAGTGAAGCTTGTATTCCTGGGAAACTTCAACCAGCCACTCCACCAGAACGGCTCGCATGCTATCGGTGATCTCTGGATGTCTCGCTAAGTAGTCCGGCCTTGCGCTGAGCTTCGTCTGGCATTAGAAACCAAAGCAGTTATCGTGACAAACTTGCAGCTCTCATAGTCACGCTGCTTTAGTGCTGAGCAAACACTAAAGTGGCAATAAATAAAAGAAATCGCACCTCTCTCTCCCTCAAGTGCTGGTAAATGTTTTCTGCATACTCCAGACAAAGCACCTCCTCTGACAGCAGGGATCCATTTGGTTCAGACTGCATCGAAGCATCCTGGCATGAACCTACAGGAGTAAACAGCAGGTGTGTAAACAGCACACACAGAAAAAAAGCTTAGCACAGTTTTTTTTTTTTTTTGCATATTCTAAACTCACATGAACTCAGCTCCAGCAGGAGTCTCATGTCTTCATTTTGTAGGGCATCAGTTTCAGCATGTAGGCAATAACTGTCTAAGTCCAGTTCTTCCCCAGAAGCTGCTAGAACAACTTCACAAGCCTCTTCAACATATATATCATAGCTGGAGCTGGATGGACAGCCAAGAAAGTTGAGCTGCGAGCTGTCTGATACTGAACTGTGTTTGGATAATTTGCTTCCCTGAGGAGAAAAATGACGACTGTCACTTTAGGCTGAAATGTAAATGTTCTGTGAGGGTGGAGTGACTGAAAACCAGTAAACTTTAATCCTTTCTCACCTACCTGGCTCAGGGATCGACCACGTTGCTCATTTTCTGACAAGACACTGAGCACCGTTCGCTGTTTGGTCCTCTGGACCTGCAATGCATCTACTCTGGTTGAAGATGGGACATTTTCTTTGCCAGTGTGACTGCCAACACTGGCATTTGTGCTGAAGTTCATCTTCAAACAAGGAGATGAGGAAAGAGGTATAAAAGAAGGGCAAAATAACAGAGAGACATGAAACACAATGAGAATAAAAATTGTTTAACACTGAGGTACTGCTTTTGTACGTAAGTGAAGTGAAGTGAAGTTCTTGATATTGTGCTGCCACGCTTCAGTGGTGGTGACTGAAGCATGACCCATGATTAGCAATATTTTAGAGATGCCCCAAGATGACAAATCATATTTTGAAGAGAGTGCATGTCTTTCTGCCGAAAAAGAAGCCAGGCTCTCCCCTGGCTCCTCTGTAGTTTGCACCCTGGTTTACTCTCATAAGAAGGAGAGCATCAAAGTATCCTATTTGAGAGGCTGGGGCCAGTTGGAAAAAGTAACCAAAACAATGAATCAGTTCTAAATTAAGTTGGCAATCAGTTTTTAAATAATTGAATCATCTTTTTTGATTCTCTACATAAAATTCTAAATTTTAACTAACTGTTCTCACAACAGCAAAAGAAAAATTGTGTTAAAACCAGTTGGCCATGTTTTTTTAGATATGGACATAAAGTCTAGCTGTGTGTGTGTATATATATACATACATGAGTTTAAGACATACATCTGTGAGCAGGATTTGTAGCATTACAGCTATTTCACATAGGTAGCCTGATATATATATATATATATATATTTTTTTATTTATTTATTTATTTTTTTAATTTTAAATTTTATTTTAATGGAAAATCCATATAAGACACGTTATTCTGAAAATATAATTTAACATAATATCCTTGAACATTTTTAATTTAACGTGTGAAACAAAGTCATTCCTCCGGGTTACCTTATTACCATGGTTACAAGAAATTATCAGTAGGAATCAATCACAGACTCAAACCCATCCAAGCGATTAGAAAAACAGAAATCAAGCTGAAAACAAAGTCCATCTAATCGGTCCTAAGCGGTGTCCTGCAGGTTTCAGAGCATCTGTCCCTGAACACTTAAACTCACCATGATCCGGGGCGGCGCACGTAACAGTTGAACGTTTCAAAGTAGAGACGCGGCGATCACTACAGCCTCAAACCGACAAATAACCACTAAAACTTTCTGATTTATAACTATTTTGGGGTTAACAGCGACCTCAAGCTGCCTTCGAGCGACTCGGAGCCGATTCCTGGATGGTTTGTTGTTGCTGTTGCGGCTAATTTGACCTCGTAAATGAAACAAATCAGCTGTTTTTTTTCGGCTTCTCGTCCAATAACGTGTCAGAACTCAACCGCTGCCGGCCGACGTTATGCGTCAAGAATCTGGATGTTGGAGACTTAGGAAAGTTCTTCAGTGGAGTCCTAACTGCTCGTCTCTTAAGTCAAAGCAAAGTTTTACTTGCAGCAAGGAGCCACATGTACAGCACAGAGTCTGAACATGTGACTCCAGAAACGCTGTAGCCTTTACAGAGGCATACAACAGATGTGTCCTCTGCTCCCATCTGATGAGCACAGGCTTGGCTACGTTTTGCAGGTGCACGCTGTCTTTCACGGCCTTCTGTATTTCAAAAAGTTGTCCAAAGAGCATTGAATTATAAAATATAACACTGAGTTTTTATAAGAGAGACCTTCAGTTCAGACTGTCTGCGGTGTCTCCGGAATTACACAAATCTTAAAATGTGCTCTCACACAATGTTTCTAATGCTTTCTGTGGCTCTGGTAAACAGCTGCAGCATCACTCAGCTGATGGATGAATGACATGTGTGTCAGATGACAGCAGCAGCAGCAATTAATTCATTACCTCCATCCTATAATATGTCATTTCGATCCAACGTTACCCTAATCTGCTTGTCTCAAAACAAAAAAGCGAGTTTGTACCACTAAGAATAAAGCAGTTTTCAGGATAATTCTAGTAATAAAAATAAAAATACTGCTACTACTAATGATAATAAAGATCATTTCCAAAATCCAAAAGTAGTTTAATCCAGAGAACATTTCTGTCATACATGTTAAAATCTGCTTTAACATCATTGATCAGGAGGTCTGTTCACTGCCAGTGTTTGTAAAACCGATTTTTAATGTTATACATTTATTGAAAAATATTGTGACAACCTGAAATGATTCGGTTGCTTCAACCCTGTATAATGATTGGTTCATAGTTAACATTTCAGGTTATACTGAATGGATTATTTACGTTATGTCACTGACACCAGTGTTTTCTTTTAATTTGGCAAAAGCTGAAATAATCAGTTTGTTTCATTCTTAAAAAATGAAATTACATTCATCATATTAAAAATATTAAGTTTAGGTCAAATTAATGCTTTGCATCAAATTAATGTTAAATATTAGCTGTGAGTTCAGTTGTTTTCGGTTAAGCTGAGGTTTTTATTTTTTCAGTGTACCCAAAATGATTGGAAAAACAGTTAAAAATCAGATGATATAGTATGACTGTATTTTATATCTGTGATCTATACTGTGAAAAGCCCATATAATAAAATGCATAAGCTATGTACAGTCCTGCAGAAGTAGTACAATGCAAAACAAACAAGATATTTGAGGATAACACAAAATCGTGATAAGACAATAAAGGAGGAAAAAGCCTATGTAGGAACTTCTCTGTTTTGTCTGAGGAGGCTGAGTGCCTGCATTTTGTATTTTGACCATTAGATGGCAGACTTTCTCTTCAATAATAATCGTTTGCAACCAAAAAAAAAAAGTCATAATGGGTTTGAATAACAGTATAACTGACCATATAACATTGTGACCCTTTTATATGCAATTTTCCAAAATAGCTGTGAACCTTTGCTCACTCAGGAATGAAGATGATGCAAAGCAGTGAAACATCCCGCTGCTTCAAATACCAACCGATTCAGACTTATGTATCTTTTTTCAGCTACAAACCATTTGGATGTTTATATGTCTGGTGGCTTTTTTAAAATTATTTTTATTGTTGTTTAAAATTTCTCATTTAGTCACAGCAAGAAGTGCAGGTATGCCATAGAGGGGCTGAGGGGGAACTGGAGAAGATCAGGAGCATTAACTGCAGGCTTGTCATGCTGCTGCTGCTGCTGCTGCTGCTGAGCAGCTCCAGTGGAGCAGCTGCGGATTAAGGATTCCAATTTGCAACCTTTTGGACACAAGGCTGCCTCTTGAACCTTCAACCAACCATCCCGCTTAATACTTTCCCAAGCGCTGAATCTGATGGAAGACCCCAACACTTTTTGTGCTCCATGCTTTTAGCAGTGTATTAACTATATTTACTTGACTCCTTTAACAAGAGTAGGATCTTGGGGAAAAAAAATTTTTGTTTTTTTTCAGCCTACTCTGATTGGATGCTAGTTGTATGTTGACTAAAGATTTCAATCCAAGCACAATACAGTTACATCACAGAAATGCTGTCTACAGTATGAGGTACATTTTCTGTCATGACAATGCAGGCGTGCTTGAATTAAGCACAGGAGGACTTGTTTATAGAAATACAACCTTTCATATGAAGGTTTATACCTTTCACCAGATTCAAACTTTACCCTTCAACATTGAGATTTTTGACAATTTGCATGTAAACAGAATTTTTATGTCCCTGTAGTGGGAATAGCATTTTCATCTATCCTTTTCTGTTATTTTTTTTTACACATTTCACTGACTCATCAAAAACTTGCTCTGTGTTTGTAACTCTAAAAGAAGATGTAGTTCAGTTAAAGTTATGATGATGACACCATCATTTTGGCACCAATGATATAAGTTCTGAAAGTAAGATGTGAAACTGTAGGATAGTGAATCTAAGACGAAGCAATGTAAAACAACAATCAAAGCCAATGTATCTGAAAAGATCCAAAATAAAGGGATATTTAATATGTGCCTTCAAAAATATATAACAATTTTAAAAAGAACGATCTCATATATTATCTCAAACATATGCTCTAAAATACAAAAAGTCACATTTCATAGGCTAACAACAAAACTACGCTTAGAATTTTATTATTATTTTTTTATGGCACTGGCTTAAATCAGTTTTGGAATTTACAAGGTTAACATCATGACTCAACAGCATAATTTCATTTGAGCTAAATGTCATTTCTACATGTGGTAGACAGCTGCTGTTGTTCAGGTGTTTATATCACCGTTCATCTCCGGTTACCAGATCATCATTTGTGGAGCTGAAAGGGATTTCAGCACCAGTTAGTTCAAAAGCCAAGTTGGCAGGAACAAATCAAAAAAAAAAAAAAGAAGAAGAAGAAGGATAAAAAAAAAAAAAAAAAGACAAGTTACAGAGAAGAACGGGAGTAATTTTCTTTCTGACAGATAAGATGCATTGGAACTTGTTCTACCACAGACCTGATGAAATATCCTCACCTATTTGCTCCAGTAGAGATGGGGGATAAGGTGGCCTGCTGTGCCCATTTTCTCCTGTCAAAATAAAATCGATATCTGTTCACCGTGTGCTGCGAGGAGGCAGGGCACAAACACACACTCGCACAAGCATAAAAACACAAACATGGCACCTGCTCAGGGGACACAAAGTCTCCTCTGTCTTTTTTTATCCTTCTTTCTCATTTCCGTTCAGTCCCTAAGCAGATGCAGATTGCTCCTGACAGATAGCATTGGGCTGGTGCCATTTCATTAGTGTGATGCATTGCTGGTGACAGGCTCGGGCCAGATGTATTGGGTGTTTGAGCATCACCTATAAAATACTGTGCCATCAAGGAGAATCATAGTTGAGAATAGACCTGTCTCTTCTTTGTTCTAAAACTGCAGCATAGGTAACACTGGCCACTAACCTGGAGGATAAGGAGATGAAGAGGAACCTTCTGAGGTTTCCCCCTTAGTTTTTCTGCACAAATAAGAGCTCATTAACTGATCATGATGCAATCCAAATCTATGAATCACAGTCGAATAAATCTCCCAAGTGGTGCTGTTTTGTGATATTTGGTCAGCGATGGCACATTTAGATGCCAAGAAAAGTTACTGTGACATCCTCAGATGTATCATCCTTCATCTTGTAGCAGCCTCTTTCCCTTTATAAGCTGTCATTTTTACCCACGATCCTCCACTCATCATGATTTTCATGTCACGACAAAGAGAGAGTGAGTAATTATCCAGCCAGGTTAGCTGGAAAAGCACACTGAATGGGAGCTCACAGCTTACATAGAGATTATGTAGTTGACTGCAAGTTTTATTGGCAGCTCAGTCTGATAAATATAAGTGTATATTACCTCTGTGGTCCATCTGTAGTGTGGAAAAGTACTGTCTCTTGGATTATTTTTACTGCTGCAAATGTTCATGTCAGGCTGAAGGCCGATTAGCAGCATTTATTGGCAATCAGAGAGAACAAAGAGGACACGAAGACTCGTGAAGTTAAAAATAACAGGTTAACAATTAGCAAATCCACTTTTTTTTCTTGTCTAAAGGGCAAAATTTCACAGTCTTTGTACTCTCCTAATGCTTTATTTATAGATTCTAAAGTGGACTTTTTGCTGAGGAATGTGATGTGGAAGTTTGGTGCCAATTTCCTCCAATAAAACGGCCCATCTCTGTAGTCAGTCAGGGGTATTAAAGGAAAATGAGCTCAGACAGAAAGAGACAGAGAGAGTCTTGTTATCTGTTTCTTATAATGGGAGAGTAATTATGTTGCTTAAATCAGGACGGCATAAACACAGACTGTATAACCAGAGGGAAACACTTTATGGAAATATCATTGCATGTCACAATAAAGCTGCAAACCTTTGAAGAAAGTTCAATTGTTTACTTTTTGGGGCCTGCTGCCTTCCCTCCCCCCCCAATTCATTAACTATTTGGAGAGATTCTGAAAGGAGGACAGTGAGAGAGAGGAAGAAAGAAAGAGGGGGAGAAAGTAAAGTCAGTCGTTTGATATTCAAGAATGTAGAAAGACAAAATGACTCAGTAATTATGCTGAAGGACAGAGTGCTGCATTTTGTCCTTGTATCCTCAATACCTTCTGTGGCAATTTGTGCATCAAATATCTCCCAATCTGCGCTATGGAACATATGAATTATGAATGTCTGAGTGTGAGAGTAAGGGCTTTTTTTTTTTATATTATTTGCAATTTAAGGGCCCCAAATCTTTTGGAGCACTAAATTATTCATGTATTCAAATGAATCTGACTTTGAGGACATTTTTTTTTTCTTTCTTCTCCTCTTTCATGAATTTAGAGTGCACCCTACAGAGGGAAAAAATTGCCAAGACTGTTAGGTTTTAGTAGGATGCTGTTTTTGAGAGGTTTTAGTGTGCTGTTGGACTCCTTGGACATGAGTTTCTGTTGATTTTTTCCCGTTTCCCCGACTCGTGGGGGATGTTTCGGAGAAAAGCGCCGGCATCACGTCGCACGTCTCTCATTGTTATTCTGGGCAAGTCGCCTGTCAGACTGCTGTCCTGTGTGTGTGTGTATGTGTGGGCGTGTCGCTGTTACGCCTCAGTATGTTCGCTCTGCTCGGTGCCCTCAGATCTGTGGAGATCATTCTGAGTGGCATGCCACTGCCGTGAGACGAAAAGGAGGAGCGCACTGGCTGAGGTCTTTTGAAAACGCAAGTGAACATAACAAATAATTCTGGAGACAAAGACAAAACATGCAAAACTCTAGTCAGGAGAGGACAAGTTAAACAGTTTTCCTGTGCTCATCAAAGTCTTACTTTTATGAGCCTCTCGGGCAAATTAGTTCAGATTACCAAAAGAGATGTAAATCAAATCTGGTGGTGTATCTAAAATTCACATAACTTTGAACATGTTTACTACAACTGTGACACTTTTATCATAAAGTTTAAACTTGGGTTCACATGGCTTTAGCAGCATGTCAAATCTGCAAACACACACACACACACACACACATACACACACACATATGCTTTCTCCCAAAATAGCCCCCAAAATGGAGTTGCACCCCCCATTGCTGCATGTCTCTCTCTCATTAACATGCAGTGCAGAGACTGCTGTCCTCACAAGGGCAGCGCTAGGATGGCATGGAATCAGAACAGGCTGGGATATCAGGGAATGACATGGAATCGGCGGCCACTTCTTCGCCTTCCGGGATTAGTGACAAAAGCCAGCTGAGGCCAAAGCTCTTATCTCCATCCTTCAGTCCTCTCTCGCGTTCACACACACACACACACACATGAGCAACACAACAGCACACAAGAGTTTGCACAGAGGCGGCACATGCACGCAAAACATGTTCCCTCTTCAGGAAAATGAGAAATATTGTGCGAGTGCAACGACTCCCCGTGATTGAAATAGAAAATAGTCTTCCAGAGTGTGATTAAGAGGCCAGGGGAAATAATTATTAGAATAATTAAATGATGTGCACTGTTACTTTCCTCTGTCCTTGGTTTCTCCCTCAACACAGTCAACACCAGCAAAACTGCCTACAGTGTCTTATTAAAATATTTATCAACTCTTTTTTTTTTTTTTAACTCCTCTCTGGGGGCTGGGATTAAGAAAATATTCACAAACGGATATGTGCTCATCCGATGAATCCGGGACCCCTTCACATAGCTGTCAGATTTTTGTCTGAAGTAGCTACACATGAATACCAACTGTGTGATGTTGCTTAATGCTAGATTTGGACGTGAAATAAAGCCATCTCATCTCTCCTCTCTGTTCTCCTTTGCTGCTATTCCCCTCTGGTGCCCATGTCAGCAGGCAGATGGCAGAAGACAGAGGCATCTGTGGAAGAGGAGGCGCCTTTTTCCCCTTCACAGAGCAGGGACAGGTGTCATCTGCCACACAATTAACACCTTCATGAATACCATTAAGGTGCTAACAAGCTCATATGAGATTCAGAGTCATGCACAAAGTTTATTTTTGATCGGATGAGCCTGAACATTATCTGGAGTGTTTCACTTCAAAATGAGTTAGCAAAGCACTTTAAAGCTTTGGGTAAAGCATTAAAGCATTGGTTCTCCTGTAGCAGCTCCAGTATTGGCACTCTTAGTCAGTCGGTCCACATCTTTGGCGCAGACGCAGATGTTTGATACAGACATTCAAGGTCAACTGAAGATGAATTCACTGACTTTTGTGATCCTGTAACTTTTCCTTCAGCATCATCAACAGGTTACAGTTTTCACCTTGTCAGTAAAACTCTGACTCAGACAGTCATATTTTCCTGGATTATGTGTTCTAAAAACTTTTGTGATCCCTTGATCATTCATCTTGTGCCATCATCAGTTCAAAATTGAATTAGTACTTTAGTAAATGAATACCTACAAATCGAATTGCATTCCCATCAGTCTTAGCTCTACTTTGTTTACTAAAGTATGACAGCAAGCTAATATGCTAAATGAGAAGGGTTTGCCTGGACTGCAAAGGACAAAAGAGAGCGTGTAAGGGTGTAACACGCATTTACTAGTGACTGGTTATAAAAAGTGAAACCAACGCACAAGTGCCTTAAAATGCAATACCACTGAGTGCCACTCCGTGCTCACGCCCAAAAGCTCTGGCTCCAATACACTTCCATTCAAAAACTGTCAACTTTCCTCATAAAAAGCGACGTCAATGCACTTTTACCACAAGTCATTATGATTTCTTCTGCTAATATCCTTTCTTCTGGTCAGAGTTCTTTTGATCCAACTGAAAATAATTTCATGATAAAAAGAAATAATGCTTCAAAGAGAGCCGTGATTGACATGTTTTTTTGAATGAGGCAGCCAGGGGACTCATTCAGTGAACTTGGGTTGCATGCGTATCATTTCTTTACGGGTTTCTTCTAATTGCTGATATTTTCCCACCATGTTTCAAAGGAGTAGTCAGTGCGTTTTTCATGGACAGTTTTGCTGTTTGTTAGCTTGTTTAATTCAGTTTTTAGTTCTCCCTAAGTATGACTTGTTCTTGTGTGACTTATGTGTAAAAGTTAATGTGCATTTTTGCAATGGTTTTTAATTTAAATGCACTTTGGATGCAACTTTAGCATGAAGAACAATGTGTGCAGCGCATCCCACAAGTTGGAGCTTGTAGGCTAACTCTGCCTGAACTAACACACATACACTGGTGTGACATGTAGTGTGAAATTCCTCCAACTGGATGTGTCTTGTAGTAGTTGCGACTTGTTCTGTCTGTTCTGTTCTATCTGCTGCTGATACTGCTGTGCTAAACTGAGAGTGTAAACAGAATAAAAACACTATGCCCACTTGAAATCAACCAAACATTTTACGCATCACATGCAACTCAAACACCACTGCACAGCCTCACAGAGCTTTAACTGACGCACTGAGGACAGAACATCTAGCTACAGACCCACACAGGCTGTAGCTGTTCAGAAATATTGATAACATCGATAAGGAATGAAAAATGACTGCGGTTTGTTGTAGACAGACAGAGAAAGATATGAATAACTGGAAGGAATGCAGGTAGAGGCTGAAACATGATGGTAGAAAGAGACTGCAATGCTGAACAAACCAGCCAGGACTAAGAGAAAGCCGACTGCTACTGTACATAGTGCAGGGGGAAATGGAAACAAGCACTGACATTGACAAGCAATCAGGTGATCGTGACTGGTGGGAAAGTCTGAGGGCATCCAGCAGGTCTGTGAAGTTTCATGGGAATACAGGGGCCAAGGGAACAGAAAGAAATTGGCTGACACATTCAGAAACCAGCAACTAGTCTTATATATATATATATTCTGTCAAACTGCAGTCGCACGCATCAAAACCTGTCCGAATAAATCTAAACTGCTTGCTACCACTGGAGCATGAGAAAATGCCCGATCCCACATGTTTCTTTTTGCTCACAAAGTGTAATAGTTTGAGAAAAGAACCTCCTTTTTTCCCCAGCTGATGTAATACAGTCAAAACAAAAGTAAGGGAAGCCTTTTGAAAAATGATCCTCTTTCATATGTAATTTGTTTCAGCACATGTTCACGTTCCGTTTGCATAAAGAGATTTTTTATAGAGCAAATGTGCTTAGCTGCTGTTAACAGACACACTGTTTAGAGGGGAAATGGGAAGGACAGAAAGAGCGGAGAGAGGGGAGTGAAAACACAAGATAAGAGCTTTAGGATGAAGGGAGGCGAGGAGAGCTGCGTTTAGAAACTGAGAAGTGTTAAAGGCTTCGTCTTTCGTCTTGGGCTGTCCTTTTCTCATTCAACATGCCGGTTTGGGTTCTTGTTTGAAGAGGCTCAGTCTGCCGGCACAACAGCAGCCGGTTATTGCTCACCATTGGATGCTCGTCTACTGACGCAGTTTGCTGAGAGCAGAGAGCGAGGCCGTGTCCCTCACACAAACAACAGAAATGAAGCACAGGCTCAGGAGCATGTGGAGTTATGTCCACAATGACAAATATTGATTTATTGCTGTATTTACACAAGTGTTTGTGTCTACTGATTTGACAATTCGCCAATGTTAGCCAGCTACTGAGCAGATTGTCAACTGTGACTAATATCTGCTGAGAGAAAAATGAGCATGCAAGAGAATAGATCCGATGTGATCATTATTTAAGGTGATGAGTAAGGAGAGAGAGAGAAAAAAAGTGGGAGGGCAGAGATGGGGGAGTCACAGAGAGAGAGAGAGGGGATGGGATTAGAATGAAAACTAGTCCGTCTGTTGTTTCCTCTCCAGCACTTGTAAAAGGAAAAAAAAAACACACACATCAGTATCATTCATTAGTTACAGCATCTGTTACAGCCTGCGTGTGTTCTCTTTTACTTGTGAGTCCATTCACAGAGGAGACACATCTACTCCAGCTGTAGTGGCTGTGTTTTGTGTCGTTGTGAATGACAGAGAGAGAGAGAGAGAGAGAAAAGAGAGAGAGAAGAGAGAGAGAGCGGACAGGCTCACAGGGAAGCTCTCAGGGGCAACAGATCTGGTTTGCTCGGCTGAAAGACCAAACACGGGATGGATTTCTGCACAAGGAGGGAGCAGCTGCCTCACACATAAAAAGGTCTGTAACTCTTCCTTTTTTTTTTGCAGCAATTCCACACATGCTGCAGATGCTTGAGGCTGCTTTAAATGAAATGTTTCCAAATAGTTTTAAAAGAGGGAGACACAGCAGGGGCGGTGTTAATCTGACATGTAAGAGGGGGATTCCTGCTGAACACAAAGACCCGTTATTTACCTTGAATTTATCTATTCAGTTGCCGGCAACTTTACTCTGTGGTTTATCACTGCCCGCAGAGAGTGGAGAGTCGTCTGACATAGTCTGTTACAGGAAGACAATTTAAAAAGCTAGGTGAAATAGTGAAATGAAGGTAGATAAAGATTCTACATCCAGTAAACAACACTTCATGTGTGCGTTCATTCAACAACGAGCGGGCATCCTGTGTGGCAGTTGAGAAAAAGAGGGAAGAAGTGAGTGATGAGAGGCGCAATTGTGTGACCGAGATTGAGGGGGAAAAAAGGAGGAGGGCATAAAAGTGTCCTTTCAGTGCATCGAGGACAAGAACAGGTTCTGTTTGCGTTCAAAATGATACATGATATATGGCTCTGTTCATCTTTATAAACTGAGATCGAATGAGCTGCAGGCAGAGAATCAAAGTGTGAGAAACAAATTTATTGGCAACCTGCACTCACAAGTATCAGGAGTAATTAACAGATATGAAAACGAGGTGTAAAAATACGCACCACCACAGGGAAGAACTAATGGGCACCACACACAGAAATACACAAAACACTCAAACATCAAAGCAAAAGAGCTCATTATCTACACTGACCAAAAAAACAAAAAAACAGTCCTCCTATTCAAAATGTTTCCGACTGTTTGCTCCGGTTTTACCTTAATATCGGTTAGAATAAAGCTCTTGCAACACCTTTGAGATATCTTTTCCAAATTGGCCCTTTGAGATTTAACGCACCAGATATCTGAGAGAATCAGATAACAGCTCAACTGTGGTGCTCAACCCCTGGTGTGGCTTTGAGTGCTCTCAGGTGTGCTGTGAGATTTTGTCATTCAAATGTAACAGGAATGAATAAATACATTAGTTTATTGTTTTGTAGATTTGTTCCAATTCCACCTGGTTTTTCTAAATTTGGAGGCTTGTGATGTATTTATTGGCAGATGTTGCTTCAGTGTTTTAAATGATAAATAAAAACATAATTTGTTGTCTTGTTTAAAAAAAAGGGGGATGTTGAAAAGATTGTGAGCCTCTGACACATACTGAAGCATCACTTTCTTGGTTCTTTCATCACTCCTGCGTATCTCTTGACAAGTACGTGGGTTATCTGTGGTATTTTTGGGGGGCTGCACAAGTGATTTGGAATTCACGGGGTTGAGCCTTGGGTCTGTTTTCAGCTGATCTGGCTTAGAATATGAGCTACTTAAACGCGTTTGAAATTCAGGCTACTTTTATCTCTCGGCAATCTCGCATTTGAGCTGAAATTGTATATGTATGTGCGTGTCTGCGCACTATGCACCAACAACGAATGCTGGCATTTGTGCTTTCGGCTCAGCTTGCTTTTTGCCTGTTCGGATGTGGTATGAATACAGTATGAGAAAGTATGAAACATGTGCACACATACACAAGCACGCTCCAAAGAATATGGCCCAAATGTCATGACATTTTGCCACACATGCGTTTGGTCCATTATTCATGAAGTGAAGGGCCAACACCACAACTGAATAGAAAACAAAATGCATCTCACTTGGAATGGAGTCCAAGGCTGTTTCTGTTTGGCCCTGAATGAACAAACTATTGTGGATATAAAAACTAGGCATTTAATAATAAAAGCATAATACCCGGCGCATAAATCTTCAGAGACAACAAACAGCAGATAAATTTGCTTGTAGTTCTTCCAAATGCAAAACATCATAAAAATAAGATCGCTGCAAACAAACGGTTGTGTTATGATTATATTGCCATATTATTAAAGCTGGTTGAGTATAAAAAGTGCAAAGGCACGTACCAAAAAGTGTTATTTGTTTCAAACAAACAGCAGGCAGTATGATCAATACACATTATACACAATAGGCTTTTATACAGATACACAATAGGAAATAAAACAGCAAAAAAAAAAATAGGACAACAGTGAAAGATATTTATTTGGAGGACCCATTAGATAAGGCAAATTGAGCAGAATATACAGAGAACAGTGAGAGTGAAGAAGATTATACGGACATAATGAGAAAACGAAGAGGGTGGAGGGTGAAGAACAGATTGAGAAAGTGGAGCAGAGGAAGCTACGCGGCACAATGTCTCAGGAGGAGTTTGGCTGAACATACTCCAGCAGCCGAGGATGAGATTGTCTGCGAAGTGACTTGCAGAGATTGTGCAGATCAAGGAGGAGTTTGATCGGGACAAAAAGGAGCTTTAGGAGTCAAGGCTCACTGTCTATAGACACCAGACTGGTGGCGGACAAAAGATTGAACAAGCAGAGGTAGAGCAGAACGAGAAGAAAGCTCCAGAACTCATGAAGGAAAATTCGGTGAAGGCAGCCCAGCTTGAAGAGTGTGCAGCAGAGAGCCAAGCCTGCACAGAATACATTTAAAGCTCTTGACATAGTCGAGAAGCCAATGCTGGCATTGAAAAAGCTGAAATATCTGATCAGAAAGAAGCCGTAGCTGAGAGTGAAAAGGAAGAGCAATTCTGCAACAACATATTGAGGGGCCCCGGGTTGGGAGACCTGAGAGCAAGGAGGCTGAAAGGTAGAAACGCCTGAAAATACCCCATATGACCCCGACAGGGAGTGACAGAAAGAGGCTTCTCTTTATGTGAAGCTGTGGAAGAAGAAGATGTATAAGTCGCATCACATAAAGTCTGGTGAGGCCCAGGTCAGAGGAATAGCACTGACTCTTGGACACCAGTCAGGCTATTTCTTCTTGAAGGAGCTTTTCCCAGCAACTTCCAGTCTCACAGAGAAGTCATTCTGGCCTTTAAAAAAAAAGCAATCTCTGCTCAGAGGGAGGTGTAAAAGCAGCTCACATCACACCTGAGTGAGTCTGACACCAGGCAAGATTTCTTTCCTTTGATGGAAATTGACAGGAAGAGCAGCAAGTGGAAGCTGTACCTGTTTTTTTTGTTGTTTGTTTTTTTTAACCCTCGAAACTGTGGCGAGCTGACCAACCATCGCACAGCTTTAGAGCCATTAGAGGATATCAGACCGTACTCCTTATCTTGGCTTGACCTCACAGCTGGAAAAACTTCAGATGAAATGTAAATGTTTCATCTGAACGCAGTAAAGCCCAGTATGTTAGAATTTTAAACAAATGGTCACCTCATGTCGCAAACAGGGCTTGCACTTTTGATGAATGTTCATGTTAAAAAGCAATCTTTACAAAATAGGGAAACGTAATGAATTATCGAACCGATAGCATGCACTATTGAGTTGTTTCGAAGGACCTGTGGTTGCAAGACGCAGAACAGAACACCATGTGAAGCCAGGCTGTTGTTACAGAGACTCAATAACAAATGGCATTCCAACTCAGTGGGAGACAGATAAACAACAGGGAGGCACAAATTCCACAAAAAATGAAATCAATTCCATCCTCAATAGCCAGCAATTTGTTCTTTCAATCTCAGTAATGAGATGTAGGGACGCTCGGGCTCAGATAATCAAAGAATCAACCAAAGTTAGCTGGATGAGTCATGACTGCAGCAAAACGTATATATGCTGGAGAAAATTAAACCCACACCTACTTCACAGAGGGGAAAAAAAAGAAATAAGATGATGATAACTTAAGGAGTAACCCAAAACCCCCTTAAAATCTTCTTTGTGCCCAGTGGTTTAACTTCTACATCGCAACCTCAATCTTCAGCCTGAGGCCTAATCACTAAATCCTCAGACTTAACTAACGTGGTGCTTTAGTGTGAGTTCATGACGACTGGAAATGGTCTAAAAAGGAGGAGTGAGACCCACTGTCATCACAGCACATGATGCTCACAAATAATTTTTTAAAGAATGTGAAAAATTGGACTTGTGCTCTATTCTCAGTTTGATTAGCTGCTCAGTTACTCACTTTCTGTTTGTGGAAATTCAGAAACAAAAGCCAGGAAAGCCATGAACATTGACAAATCCTTTGTATGCATTTAACTAAAAATACGAACATCTATGCAAACATGCAATAAATAATCACAACAGAAAGCAGCCAAATCCTAGCACATTTCTTCCCAACACCATCCATGCTTGGTTTGTGGGCTCGTTATGGTTGGCAGCACAACTGCATACATATGTCACCAATCTTTCTATGAGCAAGTTTAAAATCTGCAGAAATATGGACTCACACAAACAGAAAAATGGTTTTGAAAAGCCCTCATGCACATGACAAGCTGACAGCAGGGCAGCCCTGAGTCTTAGTGGGGACCTTTCACAAAGCCTACAAGTCAGCGAATGTGTCAACAGGGATTGAGCATGCCAACACGGCAACTGGAATGACTGAGAAAACCTCTGGAAAACTCTTGCGACACTCGGTGTGATCAGAGGTGAAACAGACCGAGCAGCAATCTCAGAGACTGGAGGTACCAAAAGCTGCACTTCCTTGTATGTCCACTTGAGGCTGACTCAAAAGGAAAGTCAATCACTATAGATCTCAGTGTTAAAATTCCCAACTTTACAGCAGAAATAAACATTTTCACAGCCCAGTACAAAAAACCCTTTTGGTCTTGATATATATATTTTTTTCATTCATGGCAATTGTATGGGGGGTGATTTTTTTTTTTTTATATAACCACCAATTAACATTGTCTTATGGTTTAAAATTATGCATCATTATAGGTTGCCTCTTTGAGAGACAGGTGAGTGCCAACGTGGGACATTGTAAAGCTGATACACATTCATTGCTTATTTTTGAAGTAGCCAGGAGGTAAGGATAAATATTGGTAACATCACATAAGGTTAGTCTATCTTTATATACAGTTGATAAAACAGACTTGAACCTTTTAACCAGAGAGGGAAGTAAAACACTGCAAATTTAACACCCCCATTGTAAGCTGAACATGCCCACTTCCTTAGAATCAGGGGGTAGACTGTCCCATGGCACATCACAGGAAGAAAAATCCCTAACACGATATCATGGGTTTGCATATAAATTGGACTCCGTTTCAGGCTCATTCTGTGTATCATGTCAACACGTTATTGTATGGCGTTAACACAACATGAGAAATAAGTTAGGGTCGAGGTCAGGGAAAGGGTGTTGCTTGTTCGGACTGCATTGCAGGAAGTGGCACACAAAAAGTAAAAAAAAAAAAAATAATGTGTCGTGATGATGCACTAAGTGGCTTGGTGTATTATTCATACACTGTTTCATCATACCAGGCTGAAATCCCTGATTTTCTATGGGAAAAGGAATTTTTAAAAATGGGACCAGAAGCAAAAGATGGTGTAATAAAGTGTCTGTTGAAGTAATTTACACAAAAAAAGGGGTCAGAGTTAAGTTTCTATTTAAGATGGAAGAACCCGAGAAAAAGAGAGAGAGAGAGGAGCCGTGGTTTTGTTACTTGGCAAGAAGCACAAAATGCACAAGATTGCTGACAATTTCGTGACAGGAATAAACTGCTCACATGCAACATGTCATAAATTATCGTAAAAAGCAAGACACTTTCAACGTTTCCTCAGTAACGATGCACCATTTTCCCAGTTAGGCCCTGGTGTTTTGTGGGCTATGTTTCCAGCTATTCCTAAGGAAAATAACTACCGGTATTTATTAAGTGTAGGCGGGTGTGTGTGTGCATGTGTACGTAACCTCTTCAGACTCAGTGGGACTGCCTGGCCTGCCCTCTTAAAGTAGATTAGCTTGAAAAAGAACGGAGCACACCTTGTTGCCTGGATACAAAAAGCATCATTAAGCACAATTATCACCCACTTCAGCTCACAATGAACAAGCTTCATCACAGATTTCAAAACAACATATCATTAACGACAGCAACCTATACAGAGCAGGATAGAGTATGATGGAGAGACAAGACCAGGACAGTGGATGAGGTGAGGGAAAAGGTGGGAGAGGAGAAGATATTTGAAGACGGATGAGGAGAAAGGAGTTCAGTGTCCTGTTTTTGGATGTTTCAGACGAATGTGACTGATGACTGACCTATTTTGAGTAGAGCAAAACTGAGGTGGAATTTGGAATTATAAAAGGACCTCTTAGTTCAAAATGTGTTACAGATGAAGATGTTTAAATTGTTTCAAGAAAGAAACCGATGCCAGTCTGATGATGAAGGCAGAGCAAACAGAAAAGATACATTGCTACAAAACAGCAGAAGGAGAGAAGGACAATGCCTGTGCAGTAAATGTCAATACTTTAACTCTGACAAGAGTCTGGGGAGAAAGAGACAATATAAGCGAACAAAAGCGATGAGACAATTTTTCACTAGGCTAGGACGACCACTGGGAACATTTGACAAAGAAAACAGAGCCAGGGCGAGAGACCATGCTATCACAAAAAGACTGCAGCCCAACTCATCGTTCCTCATTATGCTGTGTATCTCCCTGAAGGTACTTTGGGCTGTAAATTAAAGAGAGCAGAGTTCTTGTCAAACGGACCATCCAGAGAGAGGCAGACAGAGAATGAAAGGGAGTGAATAACTGGAGAAGAAAAGGGTTTGGGGACATAGCGGTCTGCCAAACTTCATAAGCGACATTAAAGAAAAGTTTTGTAGCAAATGAAACTTGCTGGAACTGGACGCTGGGTTCAAACTAGCACAAGAAATTAAATTATAGGGTTCGCCAGTGCAAAATCCCACATGAGAATATGTATGACAATAACAACACTGTACCATCACAACAGATTTACAGGTTTAAAAGTCACCCTTATATCTGTATTGCTTTCACTGTATGACCTACAGCCCAAGTAGCCATTTTAGCTGCTGATCTGCAAACTAATACATTGGGCCTAGGATTCCAACTAGCTAATATTCAGTCTATAGGGTTTAACTCTGACTGCAGAATGAGAGTCAACAGAGGCCATAGTACGCTGCCAGAAACCGAAAGGTTGCTTCGTCTGCGTTAAGAGGAGTTTCTGCCCCAAGCGAAGGAGTGTAACTATCTTGGGATCTAGTTCAAGAGTGTTGGGAAAAAAAGAGCATGAGATGGACGGATGAAGATCATCAGCATATAATGCGTAGTACTGGACTTCAAGGTGAAGAGTGAGCTGAGCCAGAAGGCAAAGCTCTTGATTTCAATGTTCCAACCGTCACCTATGGTCATGAAATCTGGATAGTGACCAAAAGAATGACATCACGGGTAGGGTGACGAACTTGGACATGCTCAGAGTGGAGCTGCTGCTGCTGGTGCTTTGCATCTAAAGGAGCCAGGTGAGGTGGTTCTGGAATCTGTTAGAATGTCATCCAGGTTGGGCATGTTCAACTAGGGATGGACCCAGAATCTGGTGGAGGGATTACATATCTCATTTGGCCTGGGAACACCTTGGGATTTTCAGAAGGTACTGAAAAATGTTACTGAGTAGAGTAACGTCCAAAATAAATAAATAAATAAATAGATGGATGGATGGATGGATGGATGGATGGATGGATGGATGGATGGATGGATGGACGGACGTTACCCTATAGGGTTTAACACTACTTACTAACTAATGTCTCTCTGCAGTCTTAGCACATTTTAAGTATACAAGAGACTGTTTATAGGTCAGAATAAAAATCAAGGTAACACCAACGACTAAATAAGAGAAAGAGAGACTCTCCACTTAAAAAAAACAAAACGAAACAGTGAATAGAATCTATGGGAGAATTCTGTAACGATTAAAGATGGCAGTTGTATATTACACATCCCACCACTACCCCCCAAAAAAACAAGTGTCTGCTTTTTAACAGCTGCAGCAGTAAACATTCAGTCAATCAGGCTACTGCACAAATTCAGTCGTGTTGTGTAACTATACACGTGTGGAAGGAAAATACTTTTGAAACTTTATTTCGTGGCAAAGTCATTATGTTTTTTACAGTGTTATTTGACAAATGCAAATTTGACCAGTGATTCTATACATGCATTTTTTATGTCCCAATGAGCTCTCTCTATATATATATATTCATTTAGACAGGAAACTGGTCTTGTTAGCCAGAATAAACTGTTCAGGGACATGACCAAGATACCGAGACTTTCCTGTAGCAACTTTGGTAACACCAAACAAACTACTGATGTTGATGTATATTAAACATTTTATAGTCATTTGACTGCAAATGAGCACTTCTTCTAGCAATTAGTGAACTGCTAATGCTTCTCACCAATCAGCAGCGAATTACGGTTAGCCTGATGTTCCCAGTACCTACCCACACCCCAGATTTGCATGTAAATGCACAGTCCTATTCCTGACCTGAACAAAAGTTATCTTTGTTCACAAATGTTTGTATTATATATATTGTCATAGTAACATTCATCAGTGCAAAACATATTTATGACCAGCAGCATCTTCCCATATGCATTTAGTGTTTTATAAACCACTCTTAAAGCTGCTGTCCTATTCTTAACAAACACACTGTAAAACAGTCTGTTAATAGGGGTTGCACAAGCAGCTACTGAAGCTCAAAGGCTCCGGTGCATGTAGTTTACTCCACTCGCCTCAATGTCATGAGAGTGGACAGGCACATATATTGGGCACGGTGAAATGTATAATGAAATGGAGAGAAAAGGAAGGGGGGGCTGACAGATAAGAGGGAAGTGAGAGCACACCGCTGTGAGATGAGGAGGGTGTGCTGACCTCTTGCTTTCATTCTGGTCATGGTCATTTATTCCTCCCTTTGAAGTGTCTTTCTCCGCTGTCATAGATCAAGTCAAGACACAAGGCTGGCCTAACCCAGATACAAGACAGTCTCTTCCTTTCCCCTCTGTCTCCCACCAAACACAAAAGCTGGGAGCATTTCTACATTACAATTCTCATCCACATCTTTTAGCCAGTTTTGTGTCATGCAGTAATTTGTGGGGGAACATTATTAACAGTATTAATATACATGGGAGGCGATTGGCTCTCAGTTGTCTTTGTGAAAGCTGATTATGAGGAGGTTAATTTCATCAGATAAGGGTGCCTTCATTTAGGAGTGTGCACAGGCAATAAGCCTGACAGGCATTCGATGAGACAAGCACTCCCCCTGCTGTTCATTACAGCCTGGTCAATATGCGCTGCATGTGATTGGTTCAATTTACCAAACTCACTTTCTTTTCAAACTCTAAAAACAGGAAAATCATTCTCATATATCAAGTTTTTGCTCATTGTACATTCTAGTGGCCAATTAATAATTCTAGGAAGACTGATCTTCTCTATTCTGCTTAAAGTCAAACACACCTTTTTGTACTTTGCTCATATTTTATAGATTCTACATTTCACAATAAAAGACAGTTAATTCACTGAGGCCTATTTCTTTCCTGACAATATCTACATTTCTGAGATTTATTTTGCACTTAAATGCCAAGTGAGTGAGGGTAACCATATAGGGCAACGTAGTAAAAGTTTTTTTTTTGTATTGTAATAATGTTTGCAAGTCAGTTGGGTATTTCCTCATTTTCCTGAAATCTCCATCTGGTGCTCCAAGACAGCGAAACTAAATCATTATTGTTTGCCTCGATTATTTTGATTGAAGTTCTGCATCTGGGCCTCTTGCTGGCGCAGAATTAGAATTGCAGAAGTGCTCTCTGCTTTCCATTTCATCGGCAGCCAAAGCAGTGTTGAGGTTATGTGAGGACGTGGGGGAAAGCTCTTGTGTCAGCAAGCATCTGCCATGCCTAAGTGTCCTGCAGGGAAACTCGATTCCCTGGCAGCTCCAGCAGACAAAAGAGAATTTTCCTGACAGGCCGTTTAAATAATGAAGGCTGAAGTTAAGCGTGTCTCTGTTGTTTCACATTAAATCTCACTTGTCTTTCTTTATCCCTCTTGCAAACCCGCGGTGAACCATCAGCCAGGATGTCAGGGATGGACGTCCCATTAGTGGACCACAATGACACTGGAATCTCTTCAGTAGACAATGGGACCTTCCTCCGCTTCTCCCCAACCTCTGCCTCCACGTCGGCGGCTGCCTCATCTCCAGGACGTCCGGGCAACGTCTATGTCTACGTGTGGCTCTTCCTCGGCCTGCTGGTGTTCCTGCTGACACTGCTCATCATCTCCCTCCACAGGCTGAAGAACATCATCTCCTCCTCCTCCTCTGTGCCCGACTGCAGCAGCGAGGGAGGAAGCTCCTTCACCAACATGGAGATCTGCAGCATATCATCTCAGAGGTCCACCATCTCCTCGCTCTCCACCTGAGGGGAATGTGAGGGAGCACATATAGTAGAGACACAAACATGTCTATGTGCTCTCATCTGTGCATGGAACAGGAAGGCATGCACACACACGAAGCGCACAGAGGTGTGACACCTCCACACTGTGACATACAAACACTAAAACACCTTGTCAGCTGCAAAGGTGCTGACTGGATGGCATCACACTTCATGCATGCACATACTAGTCCTGACGGTCCAGTAGTTCTGGAGTGTCCATGCAATTTGCGTGGGCACAGGGGAAATATAGCTCACAATGTGATGAAGAGGTCTTGAGGGGTGAGAGTGACCCTTAAGAGTTTTACAATTAAGACAAATGAACCCGAGAAACTGCTTTCCCTCTGCAGGAAAAAGCATAATGAGCATCTCCTATCGTTCCTCCTCTTTCTTGTGTTGTACGTGTCACTTACTTTAAAAGAAATAGCATCGTTACGAAAGTGAAGTTTTGTACAGCATGTCTCCTAATGTCTGTAGATTACAAAATGAGTATCGAAACAATATTAAATATTACTTTGTACAGAAATGCATGCATGTGTCTCAGTTGTTGAGTAAAGCTTTGGGGTTAAAGGATGAGATGCTGTAGCTGAACCTTAAAACTAGCCAGTGGGTTTTAAGGATACATTTTCTTTTATCAAAAGAAATTTATCAAAGCAAGAAACTGTTCAAACAGAACATTGGAGTTTCAACTTCCTCATGGTGCATGAACATATCATGTGTGACAGACAGGTCAATCAGGAACGTTAACCAAATTATTTTCTTCTACATATTTCATTTAAAAAAAAACATCAAAAATAAAACGAATGCAGTTACAGGATTCTGCAAAATACAAAAAATTCTGTGCTCCTCGGCACAACTATGAAATTATTCGTGGCTCAGCTGCAATCAACAATAATGTGATTAAAATTCAGAGGCTTTTTGGCTAAACTGGGCTAAACTGCAGGCTGTGCTTACACAGAGCAGATAGCAGAATAGTATGGATATAAATAAGAAAATAAATATATGGGTAGTGGGATGTCTATAATAATCAGACTCACCTATGGGAAAGTGAAAAAATGGTGAACTTTCCAGATTATTTATTGTCAAGGAATTCATCTTTTTATTTTTTCCCCCTAAAATCTATGGCATTATTCACTGTCTCACATTGGATGGAGGGCATTTTTGAGCTCTGTCTTCTTCTAGCCGTGGTTTTGTTGTTTCCATAGAGGTGCAGGACTTTATATTGGAGTTGAAAATGAGTTCAGAGTGAAAACAAAACAGTGGCAGGAGCAAAAAACACCCCAAACTGTTTGGGGTTCAGAGGTTACAATGTGTGCACATGCCAGATTGTCTTATAATCCTCAAAGTCTGGGGGGAAAGAGTTTACACAAAGGAGACGACAGACACGGTGCTGTGGAAGTGAAGGTGAGAAAGAAATGAAGGTTGAAGACTGTTGACAGAGCCGCACAGTCTGACTGCAGCTACAGACAGACCAGGTCAAAAGTGGCATAAACTACAAGATGAAATTCCCGTCGTGACAGACAGGTCTACCAGCGTAACGGATTACCCTCTCCTGCCTGTCAACTCACATGACATCTGATCCCAGTCTCCATAGAGACCAAAGTAGGAAACTGTGCAGCTTTGTCTTCGTACGTATTCCTGGGTTCAGCTGCAGTAATGGTTCTCCTCATAGTACATCATCTATGTTTCGATATTGTGAGGTGAAATTTATTCTACACTGTAACAAAAATACACCACACATTTAGAGCAAACTATGTGAAAAATTTCCATTCATCTTTGTCACACAGAATTCAGTAAAGAACACAAAGGCTCAGGGTGCAGAGATGACAGCCACAGAAAATAAAAGGAGGCAGATCAGTCAGTTTTCTTGACAAATCCTCATTGTTAACACATTACAATGAACATGAGGTGTTGGTATCTGCAAACTCCCACATTGTTCCCACATGTTTAAGCTTTACTCATGAAATAAAATCCCTTTAACTTTGGTAGATCATCATATTTATTTTAAAAAGAAAAAAAATGTCTGTGGTCCTAGTCTTGCATGGAGTAAGGACAACAGCTTTGCTTATCATTTGGACTACTGAAGAGGCTGTATTTGCTTTGTAAATTTACGAGGATTGATGTCTAATCTATAGATTAAAGCAGAAAATCACTAGATTGCAAATGAACTGCACACACACTGGATTAAGCTATCAGCTCTGCTGTAGTTACACTTGAGCAACAAGCAAGTTCTTCATAATCAATTATCCCATCAATAAAACTTCACAATGAAAAGTAAAAGATTGAAATCACAAGTTTAAGCAAAGCAAAGTTCATTTACACAAGATGTTCATGGTGTTATCACTAAAGACCTGATTTACTATTTCAGTTTTAGGTTCAATGTTGCAAAAAAAAAAAAAAGCAAATTTAACATAATAATTATGCAAACACATTTGTTATAAACTTAACCAAGTAACCAAATAACAAACAAAAACAAACAGCAACTTCAAATCCCACTGATTGTGTTGTTCTGTTCATTTAGAGGACATGTCCTCAGAAATGGAGTATTATAATCCTGATTATGTATATATTGTGTACAATAACCTGAAAATAACAATTGTGTTTTGGTTACCTTAACGTGAGCCCTGTAGCTCTACAGAGGAAGCAAGTCCTCTTCCACAGAGTCCACCATGTGGCACCACCATCTTGCTATGGTAGCCCAGAATGGACAAACCCCTCTAGAGATTGCCTTTTGCATTTTTAGTGGCAAACATAGGTCAAAGACCATGTACAAACACTGAGTCAAACACGTTTCTGGTGGTTGTTGAACTCTGCCCGTGTTGCTCGTGGTCTCGGATTCTGTTTGTAATATTTGTAGGAGCCACTTATGTTTATTGTTGGCAGGTTTTTTAGTTTGCATTATTTTGACACATATAGCGGCGGTAATTAGATGCAGGCTGTATATGTAGAGGGCATAGGTGACAGGAAGAGGAAGGTACAGGTAGTGGGAGGGCACACAGTTCTCACCAGGCCAGCATCAAACCAGTAATTAGAACAGCAAACAGACTAGGACAGATATATGAAATTTGCTATAGGAAAAGCCCGCATGTTCATCTTTGGATTTCATCAAATAAGCCATTCACTAAACTGTAAGTATATGGACTGGAAATTCTGTTTTGGGTCTGCATCGGTTCAGTCCTGCTCCACCTGTGCAGTAATGGCAATAAAAGGACATTGGGACATTGAAAAATTGCCATTACAATATTTATGGGCAAGATCTCTATGGGCATCTGGGGTGAGGAGGGTAACTGGTTTGCAAACCTCCGAGATGGGTCTCTGCTTTTTGCAGATGGCGTGGTTCTGTCAGCCTTATCTGGCCATGATCTTTACTACACACTGGAAGTGAAGCAATCAAGATGAGATTTGGCATCTCCAAGTTTAGGGCCATGGTTCTCTACTGGAAACTGGTAGATTGCTCCTTCTGGGTTGAGGTAAGCTGCTTGCTCATGGAAGGAGTTTCAGTATCTCCGGGACAGATGGATTGGTGCAGCATCAGCAGTGATGCAGGCATGGTACCAGACTGTCATGGTGAAGAAGCAGCTGAGCTGGAAAGCAAAGCTGTCGATTCACATGTTCCAACACTCAACAATTATCATGAGCTCCGGGTAGTGACTGAAAGAATGAGATCGCAGACAAAAGCAGCGGAAATGAGCTTTTCTATAGGGTGGCCGGAATTACCCTGAGAAACAGGCTGAGGGGCTCTGACATACAGAAGGAGTTTGGAGTACAGTTGATGGTAGTTTCTGTCTGAAGGAGCCAGCTGAGATGGTTTGGGCATCTGATTAGGAGGCCGTCTGGGAGACTTCCTCTAGAGGTTTTCAATCATGTCCAACTGGGAGGAGGCTCAGGGGTAGATCCAACAGGGATTACATATCTTATCTGGCCTGGGGTACCTTGGTATCCCACAAGAGGAGCTGTAAAAAGTTGTTGGAGAGAGGAATGTCTGGAAATCCCTGCTTAGTCTGCTGTACTAACGACCCAAACAAGGATAAATGGAAGAAAATGGAAAGTGGATGGACATAGGTTTTCCTACACGTATGAAAGGGAAGGATGAGGTGAAGGGATATTCAGTTGATTGCAATATATAATCTCCACAATTTCGTCCTTCAACTACTGACACATTTCAGAGAATGTCATTCCATAGACAGGCTGACTAGTTTCTGTTATGACCCTGGCGGTGGGAAGTTCCACACCAGGCCGAGTTGAAGCCTATTTTCATACTATGTTCCTTAAGAAGCTTCACAGGAGCAGCTTTGAGTTACAGAAGAGTTGGAAAAGGACAAAGTTGGAAGAACTACATAAAAAGGTGGGGATTTTGTGTTTTCATGCCTTGGAAAGATCTCCATCACCATCCTTGACACCAGCCTTACTGGCACCAGTTTTGTCAACATTATAACAATGATCATTATTTAACATACAGCAAGTCATTGATAAATTAAAGGTGATAAGTGTATTTAAAGAAAAAGTGAGGACTCAGAAGGAAGCAGAGCGGTATTTACATAAAAACCTCAAAGAAAAAGCATAACAAATATAAAAGAAGATAAAACCAGAAAAAGTGGACAAAATCATATTAAATTAACAAACTGTTAATGCAACAGAATATGAATAAGTCAAGTCATCAAATTCTTTGCATATTTTATTTTTCTTATCATGATTTTTTTTTTCCAACTCACACATGTCATATTTTACATCTTTGCAATAAAACATGAATACAATAGTTTTTAGGGTTTCATAGATCCAAAAATATTTAACCTTTTTTTGGATACGTAAGTTGAACCTGTCGATAGAGTATGTGCATGTGCGCATTTGATCAAGATGGCTTCACACATACAGTACATCTCACCTTTCATCCTCTCGCCTCCCTCCGCCCCGCCTCTATCAGCTACAGAATCATGATATTGCTTACAACTGTGAGGTTGTAAAACTTATAATCACACATGAGCTCAACGCTTTAAATACAAACATCAATGCACAAATAATCCCGTAGGAAAATGGACCTAAACAAAATGGCAGCCGACCAGAAAGAACCAAGCTAATAAATAATGATATGTGATTGGTGCAAAGTGCAAATACAAAACAAACTTTTACATTGATTTGATTCTCTTTTTTTAAATAATCAACAAATGTGGGTAAGTGAAGCTTTCCTTTGCGCTTTCAGTCTTATTCAGCTGATTAAGTCTCCCACCAAGCCTGAACCAAGACTATATGTACATATTTGACAAAACAATCACCAAATATACAAAGGAAATCATGTCAGTCTTGTGGTTGTCATTCTTGGTGGCACTGGCACGATCTCTTCATCATTACCTCCTCCGGCAAAACAATCACCATCCTTGACACCACCGTTATTACCATCAGTCTTGTCAACATTATAATAATTATTACACAGTATTTTACATACAGCAAGTCATTAATAAATTAAAGGTGATAAGCGCAGTTTGTGTAGTGAAAGAACAAGTGTAGACTCTGAAGGAGGCAGAGCCTTAT